ATCAGTTTCTTTTCAGATGAAGAAAGACTTATGGTTTTCATAAAATTAAGCTGTTTTAAAACAAAATTAAATTATCCTCATCAGCAGTTGCAGAGTTTACATATAGAAATCAAACAAAACTGAGCAGCTGGATGAATCAGAACCAAAGTGGAAGCTGTAGAGGATGTTTCTTCCTTCTTCAGCATCCTACCCCTCCCTGGTGCTGCTCAAAGGTTTTTGTTTGCCTTTCTTACATCTCTTATCTGTGCATCCAGATATGAAGTGTCTCACAACATGCTATCGCTTGAATATTTGCATTCATCAGAGAGAAAACTTTCATTATTAAGAGTTCAGTTATTTGGAAAAGCTTCCTGCCTGTTGAGCATTAACCTCCTCCGTTCTCATCCAGCAGAAATTTTACTGTCCACATACCTCATTTGGCTCATAAAACACAAATCAATGGTTTGTGTGACTCAGGAGTAAAAGACTTCAGAGCAACAAGCATGAAAAGTGGAGCCTGCCACAGGCATCTGTGGAACAGTAGGAAGTTATGGCAAGCCTGTGAATGGTAGCACTGTCTGAGGTTCCCCGTGGGAATGCGATTAAATTAACAGCACATTCCGATTAATCACTGTTTTATTCTGGAAATTTTCCTCCCAGCCACCCAACAGGTACCTCATAATGCAGAGCTGCAGCTCACGGGGGTCACTTGATAGCAGCAGGCTTGCCTTTATGGTGAGGTGTTCTGCTTTTGGAGCTTGTTCTTTGAGTGTATCAAAGTGCTGAGTTCCACATGAAGACTGAAAATATGGGGAAATTGTTCTTCCAAAGTTGATTTGGTGTTTGCCCTGTCATTTATGCAAAAAGAATTTTGTTTGAAGTATTCAGTTCTTTGGTTGTTGAGCATGTTTTCTGCTCTCATTATCAGCTCTTCAGCACGACAAAGAGTTTCTTCTGACATTTTGTTACAACAGGTTCTGTGCTGGATCACAATTAGAAGGGACAGGCCAGCTCATATTTCAAACTTCAGTAAAGTACAATTCTTTATCAGTTTTAATCATAGTGAAATAATCTGGCTGATGCTTTATGCCTTGCCTTCAGTATCATTGCTAAGTGAGCAGCATACTTAATCAAAGAGAGGTGATTTTGTGAATAACTTGCAGTGGACCTAAGTACGTGCCAGTTCTGTGTCCCTCCATTAAATGGATTAATTTGGTATTTATGCTGCTAAGAACTGAGGCTCAGGATGCCAGAACAGGTAGGAACAAAATGAAAATTTCCTCCAAGATAAATAAAGCATTTCCCTCTGTCTCCTCAAATAAACCAAGCGACTAAATGAAATAAAGCAACCTGATGATGAAAATGCCAACCAAGGTGCACTAGTTTTCATCAGAGCTGTAAGTAATCTCTCAATCAGGTTATGCCATATAAATACCAGTAGCGTACATTCTGCCTTCCAGTCCACAACAATTCCCTTCTCCAAATCCTCCTTTAGCTGTAGGGAGAGCTGCAGAGCTCCCTGTTCTTCCATTAGAGCAGCAATGCTGTGACTTACAATCTCAGCCTCATTAGATTTCAGCTTTTGCAACGATCTTGTATCAGTGAACATACTCTGTCATACACCCTATCTGCCTGCCCTCGTTGTCCTAAGCCCTGTTGCATGCCCTGCAGCTGATGTGAGCCCTTTGCACGAGCAGCCCTGAGGCAGGAAGCACCTGGGGGTTCCTGCCTGCAGGGATGGTGGAGAGGGGTTGCTGCTGCCCTAAGTGGAAATGCAGAATTAGCCCGTATCCTGGCTCCTGGTGGGAAAGTGTTTCACTAATCAGAACAATACTTTCCACCCTGCAGTGTCTCACAGACCTTTACACTTGCATCTGCAAAACACAGAGAAATTCTCCTGTCATTCTCATAACAAAGTCAAAATATCGAAATTGTTTTTAAATCTTGAGGGTTTTTGTTTTTGTTTTAAAAAGAGCAAAGGAGAGAACTCTAGCATGAGTAGAAATGCTCTCTCAGTTCAGCACAGAATGTTACAGGAATAGCTATAGTAGAATTTCATCTCATTAGGGTAAAGCTGCATTTCCAGGGTGTTATGGGGCGGATGGAAAGCTGAGATGAGTCTGATCAAAAGTTTTTGTCATACAACACTAGCTTCTATTTCTATTCCAGACTGCAGAGAAAGAGGAGGACAATGACAAGAACTTTTGGGCATCTCATAATCCTAGAAAGAAATGAAAGCAGACAGAACAACAACACAGGGAAAGAGACTGAAAGTATGACACGGAGCTACTGCAGTTGGGTGTGGGCAGAGGCAAAGGGTTCTGCTATCCCTAGCATTAATAATGCATTTCTAGTTTTACTGTTTATATTCATTTTATCTCAGAAGAAAATATTTTCTTTTGAAAATGTTCTTATTATAATTCATAGGATTATGTATAACAATAGAACACTTTGCATTGCAGAGGATAACAGACTAATCTCTCCTACAGGGATAACATTCCTTGCCAAGATATCTAGAAAACAAAGCACTGAACTCCTTAGCAATTATTAAAAACAAACAAGGATGGTACGCCACAATTTGAAAGGCCATAGCATGCACAGAAGGATTTAGAAATCAGTCACACAGAGAAGATGGGAAATGGGGTTAAGGAGTTATTTGAACAATAACAGAAATATCTCTAACAGGTAAATGATGAAGGCTACAATAGAAACAACATCTTACCACATAAGATGAAAAGCCATGCTCTGGAAAGCAAAAGAAAAGGTAAGAAGCTAGGAGAAACAGCAAAACATTATAAGGGAAATAGAATGAGATAAAGATTTGTTGTTTGGACAAGAAATTAAATATTGATGCAGCAAAAGATCAAAAACTATGGATTCAAGGAAGGTAAGGTGATCAAAAATTTTGCTTGTATTCTCTCAAATCATTCTGAGCTGGGATACCTAGCCTCCCTTTTATAGGATAGGATACATGTTTATCTGGGAAACCCTGTGTAGTTTGCCCACAGTAAATCCTAAACCCACTTTCTTTTTTATCCAGGGCTTCCAAGGCAATTAGAACAGCTCCCAGCTTCTACTGGCAATTTTTCCTTCTTGAAAGACGAAATTTAAGACTAGAAGAGGCTAAGGAGGATACTATTTAGTGGTTTATAAACACTGACAACTTACTCATCATCAATTAAATCTTCATAGTATCCACAGAGTATCTATGTAAGAAAGTAGAAGGAAATATCTATAGAAACAGAATGGAATAAGCATTAGCAAGACTGTTCCCGATTGCACCTAATTCTTCCAGAAGAGAAAAGCACTTTTAGAACTACATTATTTTAGACAAACATGGTGTTTTAAATACCTGGGAAGTAAATCCAAACCTGAAGTTTCATGCCAGCAAAATGCTCATGTCACATCTGCTGGCTCCACACACACACACGCACGCACACACAAAAGGACAAAAATTCCCCAAAGACCCCAGGCTTTCCAGTGTCTCATTTGCATTAATCACTCCATGCGTTCAAACATGTGCTCCTATTTTAATGTTGGATAATTACTGTTATGATAATCAAAACATCATTTAGTGAGCCCAGCATATCATGTTGTAAATAATGTAAAGATAATATTAGAAGCAGATAATTTAACACAATGAAGACTTGCTCTCATTCATAGAAATGAAAATTTCTTCACAGCATGTTGAGTATGTAACACTGTAGCTGTATGGAAAAAGTTCAGTTTTGAAAAAAAAATCAATGGAAAACCTATGCCAAAAAGCACATGCATTGCTCTCTCAGATTTTTTTAGTAAATTATTTAGTGTTATTTAGTAAAACTGTGTGTCCATTAGATTCCACAGCTTGCCACTCAGAAAGTGCACAACTCTGTGACAGCTGGAGCACGCCCAGCAGAAGAAAGATGGTGAGCTGGCCACAACCAGCAAGGAGACATCTGGGAGCCCCATCATTTTAACTCGCCGAGTAATCAGCTTCACCATGGGTCAGTTCCTCATCATACCCATCAAAGTTTACTGCTTTTAACAGTGCAGCTGAGTGGTGGGCAGCATGGATGGAGATTGAACAAGGCACGGCAGTGGCTCTGCTAGACAAACAAGAAGAAGCATGCAGGCTGCAAGTCAGAGTCCTGCAGTAAAAGAGGAAGTGCAAGGGCTAGTAAACATCCTTTTAAATGGCTGAAGAGTTTTGACAGGAGCTCACTCTGTGCTTGCCTTGTTTCCCCAAGCCAGCATGAAAGAGAGGAAAACAAGGCCTACAAACCTTGGCAAAGCTCATTACAGATTCAGGTATTCAAATAAGTTTCTGGTCCATTATTAAATAGAGTTAGTATGTCTGTGCGAATTGCTCCTTTGGCAATTTGCATAGTAATTCCAGCATTCCCAAACCCTCAGCAGTTCCTACAGAAAAAGGGAGGTAAAAAGAAAAGGCCTTTCACAAATGCAAGACATGAGCTTTTGACTGCAAAATCCACTCACCACCGGTACACAAAAATATTGGAGAAAGTTCAGTTGAAAGGCTCAGATGGAAAATCTGGCAGGTGTCTGGAAAATAAAGCATGAAAGAGAGATGGGGAAATGGCAGAATTTTTTTTTTAAAGGTGCTGATGCCCAGTTTCGGCAAAACAGGAGGAAGGAATAATCGCTTGCTATGAGTAGTTTTGGTTGATCTTCAGCTAGAATAAACTCACCTCCTCAAACTTGTCCAGGCCACTGAAGAAAGCATATCCCTTGGGGGTACCTGAACCTGACAACAATAACTCAAATAGAGGACGGGGCCTGCATTTCGGAAACATGCATCTGTACCAGAAAATAGGAAAGAAGTCCATGGGCATTTTAGGCACATCCAAAAACATGTGGATTTTCTACCATATAACACAAAGACTACCTCACACTTAGCGTGATTGGGATCTGCATGAGTCAAGGTTTATCGCCTAGTGCCCAAGCCAGCCAGACACTAAAAGCCTGTGACTAAACTGAGAAAAAGGTAGCCCTGCAAGCTCTATTTTCTCACGGTGAATGGCTTGCGTTGAATCATCTGCTTGGGCCAGATAATGCTTGCACAAGTTGCAAGATAATGAGTTAAGCTCCACCAATGGAAGGCACAAACCTTCGAAGCGTGTTGGGGAAAACATCGAAATGAATGAAGCGAGGTTTGTTGCCTCCCACAGCAGCCACACAGAAGCTGGTCTGTTTGGGGAAGGCACGGCGCCTTTGAGTGCAGGGTGCCCTGCCCACAACACTGGTCACCTGCTGGGAGCCTGCATTGAGCCGGGCTACATTATAATTGGATTTTCCGAAGGCACCGCATTAGCATTTTCCATGATCTCACCCTTATTAGCCAAATAGCTAATCGGGAGTCGCGCTCTTACACTGTTTGCTAGTTAAGCGATCTGCTGCTATACTGTCTGCAAGCCAACTGCAAATTCACACAGCGATAAAAACTCCTCTCTATCTAACAGGCAGGGAGTTTGTTCTGGGGCTAATCTTGCAATTAAAACTCTAATTTTCAATAGATCGTGAAAAAGCAATTTCTCTCCAGAGCTCAGTTCACTCGGTGCTTCGCTCAGGCACTTCCCAGTTCTTTATTGTAAGTTAGGAAAACTTTTCTTTAATCAGCATAGGCAAGAGCAGCATTGCAGTAAAATGTAACAGTAGAAAAGTCCTTTTCCATGGGCTCTTCCCCAGTGTGTCCAAAATCAAACTCACAACACGTTTCATCCTATATGGTTATTATTTTAATGCCTTTGTATGTTGCTGGGAATTAAAATATCTGTTCTAAATGCAGAAATGACACACAAACCTTTTCCAGCTGATCTCTCTCTGTCTTCATATAGATCAAAAATCTGCTTGAGTAAAAATTTCAACTCGTATTAACTACTTCTGTGTTATCAGGAAAACACACAGGACATCTCACATGGCTCCTGGCACTATGTCCCCACTTCTTCCTCTAGGTGGGGTCCCAGCAGGTTGGGGTACCTCCTTCACCAAGAGCCTGAAGGGAAGAGGCAGTCTGGCAAGTGGGTTACGAGGCAGCGCTTGATGAACAGCCATTCACCAGAGTTTTAGAAAAGTCTCATAGTCCTAATACAATTTTGTTTAGAAACCCAGGCTTTATTCTCTGATTGGAGGTCACATAACAATGTTCAGATTCATTACAGTGGGATTCCTTGCAAGAACTCTTTGGAAATATAAATTTTCTTTCACCATGAAGTTAAACTCATGAAACACTTAGACAAAAATTATATGGATACAAATAAGTATGGATAGAAAAAGAATTATTGTTTCAAAAGGAGGGCTGGCCTGGACTCAGAATGGGAATAGGCACCTTGTTCCTGGCCTAGCATCAGTGGTACCTGATCCCAATTGCAAAAACATGTTAAAACAGTGAAATGCATTTCCTTTTTAACACACAACCAAGAAAACCTACAGAATTCAAGGTGGTACATCAACAAATCATTCCCAGGAATCAAATAAAAACAATTATAATCCTTAAACAGAAAGAATCACAGCACTATAGAGCTGGAAGCTCTTGAATTCAAACCAGACGCAACTGTCTTCCAAAGCCCGAGCAATAGCTACATCTTTTATCACAAGGCTTCTTAACAAATAGCCAGCACAAACAGCATCTTCAGAACAAAGGGCATTAACACTTCCCAGTTGAGTTTTAACTGGATCGTGAGGATCTCTAGCCTGAACGATCAGCTTTTCTATTGTCATCACAGGGATTTCACAAGGCATAAATAACATGCACTGAAGAGCTGGGACCAACAAAATTAAAAACAAACAAACAAACAAACAAACAAACAAACAAACAAAAAACACACCAAAAACCGAAACAAAAACAGAACAAAACCAAATAATGAAATTGCAGGACTAGCTTGCAGTCTTGGGCGTACACATCTTCAGGTCAAAGGCTGTCAGCGATGGGCTCCTTTCTCTGATGATGAATCTGCAAAAGTAAATCAGTAGCATGATTTTGACATTGAGAAATCCAATCTGCTCATGATTCATTTCACTCAATGTTTTCTCTCCTTCCCAAGCCAATATCGCACATCCTTACAAGCCAGTAATCAGCCCAACACAAATAATGGTGAGCATGAAGAAGCAAAGGAGTGTGGAGACATCCTGCAGTGCACCAGCATTCTCTATCTAGTTCTGAATAATCATGGTACAGAGCAAATCGGAGGTTCTATTAACCTCCATTCCCTGTATAAAACCCTTCTAGACCTCTAAAAAGAGCAAACTGACATTCAGCAGTCCTCATTAGGTATACATTAACAGTAGGTGCACCCAAGAGAATAGGTAAGTACAACAGAGGGAAGAATTCAGTAATAATACAACTGTTAAGTAGGTGTCTGCACTTCAGATGTGTTTGTCAGTAACTCATTCAAGCTAGGAAAACAAAAAATGATCAGAAAAAGGAAATGTACTATGGCCAATGTAATACGTCCTTCCTTCCTGAAGCTTCAAAAGATTCTTGAAATGCTGTAACTTGTTGCTAGTAGCACATGCACTGCTTCTCACACCACTTCTCTTACAAGAGAAATATTAGCAGTGAAACACCTCCGGCAGGGATCTGAATTTGCCTAGGAGAGTTGCTCTGCAGCTACTACGCAGTAACCCCATCTTTCATGTCTGAACAGATGGGGTTGATGATATCCAAACGCAGATGGAAGAAAGTTAACCAAAGTATCCACATCTGTGACAAGACACGGCACCACACAAACCATTGATTTTGGCTAGATTTTTCCTTGCAGGTATTATCAGAGCTAAAATTCAGCTAAAATTACTTGTTCAGAAAAGCCAGGAAAGGCAACCATTAGCAGACTGGTTCTTTCTACAAATTTAAGGTAGACAGAAAGAAATATAAATATAGGCATTTGTGTATTATGTACACATAAGATAAATCAATAATTTACAGTTCACCCATCCAGCGGAATATTGTACTCTTCTACCATATAGGGCACACCTCAACTTGTATTCCCACACAATGTTTTTGAAGCAAAACCTTTTCCAAAGAAAAGAATTTGATGAAAATATGAAACACTGACTCTTTAGCCTTGAGCCTCTGACTTGCATTTTGAGAGTTCCAGGCAGCTCTGGTCTATCACTGCATAAAAGCCTCTTCTGCTCCCAGCCCCAAGATCATATAGCAGCATGGCACCAACAGTCTGCCACACAAACGAGTGCAGAGGAAGACCAAAAGCTTCCACGATGAGGCAGCAAGAGCAACGCGTCCAGTTTGGTCCTACTTTTTCAGCATCCTCTTTTCTGCTCACATGATTACATGAAGAAAGAACACAAATCCCTCCCCAGTCAGAACAGGGTCAGAACATCCCCGGGCAGAGATGCAAATAAACCTTACAGACATGCAGCTGAGTAATTTCCTGCACATAGCCCCCTGTAAAAGCAAGGAGGATGAAACACAACTTTTCTACCAAGCACCGTATTTCAAAAACTTCACGCCAAATTTAAAATCCAATGTCCACTGAAAGCAAGACAAGATCTAGATAAATCTCAATATGTTGTTTAATAGAAATGAAATTATACATATAGATATACAGATATATATATATATACATACTGTTTCACTTCACATTAGACACTTTTGGATGGTAATGTAGAAAATTAAAAATTTTCTGTGATCTTTATCTCAAACTGACTTCAAAAAGCAATACTTCTCATGTTTCTGATGTTAAGTCTTAGAGGGGTAGAGAGTGGCCTTTTCTTTATACTGCAGCAGCAAAACTCAAGTTGTATCAGTGAAAATCCTGGAAATAATCACGTATACACACCCGAGGGATGGCAAGCTGTTAATTAAATAACTGTCTTGACTTTTCTAATGAAATGTATACACTGAAGACAGGATAAATACCAACAATGTTTCTTTTTTTTTTTTTTCTTCCCCTCTCCAGGAAAATTAAGATGTCAGTTAATTGACTTTTTTTTCTGCCTGTTTTTCATTGAAGACCTCCACAAATCTATTTTTTCCATTTCACATTTTTCCCCTCCCTGCAGATGCCATTATTTTCAGTGGAAAACCCCACACTTCCCCCCTCTTCTTCCAATTAGCTGTAATTATAACAACATTAGCCGCAAAGTAAGTACCCTTGAGGGCAAAAATCTGGAAAGCAGCACAGTGCAGAGGGGAACAGAAGATGATGTTATAATGAAAGTAAGTGGACATATCAAGCTGCTGCATGTGCTCATTTGGGCATCCCCCTAGGGCTTCACAGGTTGGTTTCTGCTTTTCCAAGTCATGCCAGCTGCCTCGCTAAGAGCTGCCTGTTGCCAGCATAACTGGATCCAAAACTAAAATGTACTGTACAAAAAACTAAATGTACAGAAATCCAGTAGTTGTATCAAACAGGGGCAACTGGGGTTCTTAAACGTGTATTGAGACTCTTACTGCCAAGAAAACAAACACAGTGAGATTAATTTTGGATGTGAAGAAATCAGTATGTGCCAGCAGTTGTGACATGCAAAAGGGTTCTTACTCTGAGTAGGCTTTATGCTATAAACCTCTTTTCCAGACAATCTTCCATTAAAAACTGAGTTTGGGGAAAATGTCCAAATATTAGACTTTTTTTGTTTTTGTTTTTTTTCCCCAAACTGCCTTTTCAATTTTATGCAGTTGGATAAGGAAGGAAGTCAACACTATTTGCCAAAAAAAAGTGACATTAAACTCAATTGCTGGAATTCTTTCTGCCTTGCTCCCTAGGAAGGAGGAAAAAAAAAGAGGAAACTTGTTCCAACAATTCTGAGTGACAAAGCACAGATATTTAGGAGCTAATGTCCCTCTGAAAGCAGCACAGCTGGCAGAACAAGGCTGAGCTGGAAGGATTTAAGCATGCTGTAGGAGCAGGATTTCCAGAGAGTGAAGAACTGGGAAAGGGATCATCCCAGAGGCAGACAAGAGAAGTTAACTTCTCAGAAACCCATTGCTCGTGCAATGAGTCATCTCTCTTCTTCCTTAGCCTCTACCCACCTCCTACCATATATCATTACACACTGCCCTTCTCTCTTTATTGTGACCCTCAAGCAAATAGCCTCACATTTTTGGAAGCCAGGTGATTTGTCCTAACCCTGCCCTGTAAACCATGGATGCCCATTACTTAATAGCCTAGTCTCTACTGCTGCCCATCTACGGGGCATGGCAGGGCACAGAGTGCTCCTGCCTACCTCCCCACACTGCCTGCCTTCAGATGAAGTGTTTCATGTTTGGGAAGACATGGAGGAGAAGACATCTTTATTCTCACAGACAAGCTGTGCTCTGATATGAGTCATCTGACTTTTTTTGAGCTGTTCAACAACACGTGCAACGTGAAACTTCTGGGATACTAGTAGGAAGAAAAAGCAAGGAAATCAGATCCATAAGCTCAGATACAGTCCACATGCTCCTCTTTGCAAGTGTCTGTTGAATATTTCTGGATTCAGCTCGGATCCCAACCTTTCTGGAAGTTATATATTATGCGGTAAGTAAATCTTCACTGTTCCATGCAACCCCTCACAGGTCAAAGAGTCTCCAAGCTCGCATGATTACCAATGGCAGTACCATGTTTCTTAATATATGAGGCCCATCGAGATTGTTTCTAAGGTCCCAAAGGCCTGAATGGTACTTTGATAATATTTAAGTAAATGCCCTAGTGTCAGAAATTTATTTATATGAAGCAAGTTTAGTAGTCAATACAAAGTAGTCTAAAGAAAAAAAATGTCAGCTTACACCAGCACAGATGCCTCTATCACAAAAACTTGCAGAAAAGGTAGGTTCATTTCAGGACAGATTTGCATTCTACTGCAACTATTTCTGATCTACTAAGCAGACAGCTTTTAGAGACACCAAAGCTAAAATAAACCAAATAAACCACCTCTTCCTTTACCTTTGTTCAGCAGTGTCTTTTTTTTTTTTTTTTTGTAGACCACTACAAGTATTACTAGCCAAGCCAGCTATTTAACTAGCCTTACAATACCTTAAAAATTAGCTCAATGCCTCACTGACACTCAGAAATGTTTGCTTTTTTTGGAACTCTTTTTTGCAGGACAATTTATCCCAAGAAGTTCTTCCTCCTCTTTCTGACTTTACTATGGGATATCTCATTTGTCTCATTTCAACACGGCAAATGCAGTTCAACTGCAGTTTGCCTCACTTGGGCTTCCTCTTCCTATCCCATATCAATTTCTGCCCTTAAATTCCTGAGGTCTTGAGGTTCTTCCACCCTGCCTTTCTTATCTGGGAGTTCTAGATTTTAGTTGTTTTTCTTTAAAGTCTTCCATTTTCCCTGATTCATTTCCTCAGCCAGGAGATGCTCATACATTGTCTCTTGCTACTTTAAGAGCTCTTTATGGGTACAATCACTATAGTTTGAAACATTCATTGCTTTGTCCTTTGAGATTGACTGTCATTTTCTTTGGGGAAGCATTAACTTTTATTAAAGAAAGCATTTCAAAAATAGCCGTGAGCATCTGTGAATAAAAATGGATTAAGTAATTTAAATCCTGATTACTGAATCAAAAATATAAAGAAAGGCCACATATTAGCCTCAGTATCTAGTCCTGCACAACATCATGTCTACAACAGTCAAAAGCTTTTGTTTTACCTATTCAGGCACATAGGGAGATCAAAATTTTAAGTAATCATAAATGCGTGCCAAGATTACTAGCTGTCCTTGGTCACATCCAGATACTCATACCAGCTTGCACACACACCAGCCTCCAAATTCCCATGCTCTACACAAACAAAGGCAGGAGCAAGACACTTGAGAACGCTGTTGCATTAGACTTTGAACTCTGTGTTTAAGGTCACACTGCTGTCATTTCAAGGCCGAGGACTGGTCTCCCAAGCCACAGCACCCACTCTCACTGTACAGTAACTTCATCTTACTGCAAAGGCTACAGACCCTTCTTTTCACCCACATTAAACCCTTAAACAGTCCAGAGATAGGAGGACCTTTATCTATTCTCTGTCATAGAGCTAGTTACTGCTGCCGTAGAGACTCTCAGATTTGAGAGGTGTTTAAAACTGGGTTGGGTTTGTGTTTTTTTTTTGAAGATCTGTCTTCTGATTCACCTCATTTGTGTTCGGCTCTAATGGCACATTCTGCGACCCATACTTAGTAATTATTCCTAAAAAAAAAAAAAATAAAATACCAGTATCGAAGGAAACTTCCTTCAGATAGGGAAAACCTAAGGGTTTGCCCTAGAAACATCAATCTACCAAAGCAGCATTTCTAAAGGCAACTGCCTCATGCTCAAATTTGCTGCACTGGTGTTTGGTTTTTCTATAATGAAGCACTAGCTCAGAAGAGATGAGATTTATTGGTCAGTTTATCACCTAATGAGGAAATGAAAGCTGAGAAATGAGACCCAGGAATGCTGCCACACATACTAACTCATTTAAACTCAGAATTGCAATTAGAAGTAGTCAAAAAGAGAACAAAGAAATTGGAAAACATAAAGAACACTTTCATCATATATTCTTGGAGATTCTAAATTTGAAACATTTCTTAAAACGAATGGCTTAAATACAGATTTAATTTATGTGACTATGTATAATATATAAATCCATGCATTTTAGTTGATAGTAGACATTGGACTTCTCTGTGACCAATGGCTAATAAAACACTGTTTTATTAGCAAAGATAAAAAGAGCTCTGAAGATATACTACAAACATACCCTACATAGCACCCTGATGGTACTAGCTGAGAATTCCTTATTATGGACACTAAAAAGGAAAGGGAAAAGTCTGTGAGTTTCCTACTCACTGTTTCACTGAGGAAGCAGCATTTGGATGTTCTGGACAAGGAACAGTTAAAGAAAGACAGAACATGGGGTTTAAAAAAGATTTTCAAAGAGGCAGAAGTCATTATAATCAAACAGTGAAAAATAATTTGCTTTTCTTCAGATCCCCTAAGTGTACTGCCCTGGACCACAGCTGCAGTTGGTGGCCGGACGTTTCATACACTGGTATAAACATCCTCTCAGTATTCTCTGGTGCAATAAATCACTCTGAGCTTAAGTGGGAGGAACTACAAAATTAATCTCCTGTCCTCTCTTGCAGTCACAGCACTACTTTCCCTGCAACCACATCAGAACCCTCCAAGCAGTTGCCATGTAATTATGGGAAGCTCGTCCTCTGTTTTGGCAAGCTGTGTTCCCACCGCACCCTCTCTTCTGTACGAATGTGGGGGACTATAAACAACAGAAGAGTTACTCTGCAGCCATCTTCTCCCAGATGTTACCACGCAGTTTTTGCTGGTGACTCCCTCCCACTCCATATGGAACCCACTCACCCCAGGAAATGGTGCTCAGATGGAGTGTACATGCTCCTGCAGTGTACACCAGCTAACCTGGTCAGTCCCCTAGTGCTGCACTGGATGGTGCATCATTTGTTTGAGACAATATTGATATAAAAGGACCATTTAGACATGAGAACAGAGAAAAACATGAAACTTAGGGTGCCATTATTCTCAACTATTTTTGAGAGAAAAGCAGTGGATTGGGGAAATTCTGGATTTGCACCCAGAACAAAGTCCTTCCTTTGTGCTCCCTAGCAGTCTTTTCAGAGGCCTGAACCAAGTACTTCAAAATTCCAAGGAACTTTGCATGATTTCAAATCCAGCTACAAATATTAAATGATCCTCCTGGTTTCCAACAGATAGCTTACATCAACACTTCAGCAAGCAATTAATTTGGTCTGTTTAAATGGTTTTATTTTTAGACCCAGCACACTAAACTACCTTCCTGATCAAGAACAGGCATTTTCACTTTAAAGTGAAACAATGTTCTAAATCCTGCACTTTGTTAACAAGGACTTGTAAAACCTGCCCCATCTTGGCTCATCATTGAATTTAGTTTTAGCTGAACCTAAAGAACCTCTAAAGACAATTCTGAGGATATCTACTCTTTAGGACTTAATAGGCATTTAATGAGGCAAATCCATGATCCCATGTTGTGTAACAGAGACATTTTACCAATTGCAGCAAAGTCAAAAGCTGTGATACAGATGGCATTACATTAGAAACTTCACCTGTGCTGCACATACACCAATCTCATCTTGCTGAAGCAAAGCTGTTATGTAAGCACTCAACAGACAAATAGGAAAGTTTACTATATATCCCTCAAAGGCCCCCATTTTAAAAAATAGTACAGCTGTTGTCTTACCCTTTGCCTTGTGCTGAACATCTGGAGGAAACTGGTCAGGAACATACCACTGATAGTCTGGCTGCACAGAACAATAAAACATTATTACAGCAATATGGACTTCACAGACACTTCAAACAAGAGAATAGCAGCACGTTAAAAACATAATTGTGCTGTGAAGCTTTTTCTTAGTCATACAGAAGTAGCTTACAAAAATCTTATACCTAGCTTGATTTTCTACCACTTGAGACTTTCTGCTTGCTTGCTTCTTTGTGATGTATGGTTTAGTTGCTGCACCAATTAGAAACATTGCTGTAAACCTTTCTGGATCCCTCAAATCAAAAAACATTAACGGAAGCTAATTCAATTTTAAATGGGCTTTATAGTACACAACAGCTAGGGAATAAAACATATTAGAAGATGTGACTGGCTCCATCCTCTATACTTAGCAAGCCAGAGAAGCCTGGTGTGCACTGTGACATGACAGGTGAACCTGTTCTACTTTCAGTACAGGTAACACATTGCTTTGCACAATAGGAAAATCCCTTTGAATAAAGTTCTCTCCCTTTCCCCTTTCCCACAGATTAGCATTTGTGTTGCAAATATTGTTTGATAATCTATTGAAAATACCATGGGATGAGAAGATTCCCCATCTTTCTATTGGGAAGACTGTGTGCCTACAAGCATAATACGTGGATATTTTTCATGGTAAGGAACAGTAAGGAAGAAAGCAAAATTGTGCCGTGGTAAATGAGTGTTACCAGTAGAGAAAACAATCCAGGGACCAGGCTGTTTATCTGAAACTCTATTAAACCAGCAGTGTGGTTTGAGCACTGCATTCAAGCTCATCAAATTCCAGGTAATTACCACTTCAAATTAGTTAAACTGGGAAAATAATTGCTGTTTTGCAGAAATTACTCTAACAAAACCCTGAGTAGTCCCAAGGAGACTCTTACAGACTTCAACTTGTAGGGGAGAAATGCCATTAATGTCTTAAAAAGTTTTGCTTCAATTAAGATGGCAAGATGAAGCTGTAGATACAGAAAAGAGATTCAGCTTTTGTGTGTGCTTTCATTCATAGTCACATAGCAGCAATCACTATCATACGTTGCCAGGGAAAAGGAAGTATCCTATTTTAACTTGAAGAACACCATCCACAGGAATTAACTAATTCTGTGTTTGAGGACAAACAAACATAGTTTGATACAATGCAAGACTCTGCTTTACTTTATGCACACGTTAGTTTTCCCCTCTAACAGTTAAAAATGTATTTATTTGCACTGTTGTTCTGAATTTCTACTCCCTTTTTTGTTCTCTGGTTTACTGTTTTCTTTCACGCGTACACAGTGCAGAGTGGAACGAATTTCAGAGAAAAGAGATGTATTTCATGTTAGATTAGACAGACTTTTTCTACTGACAAGGTAAAATGAACAAAAAGGCACAAGATATAAAAAGACTGAAAAAGCAAAAGCACAGACTAAACACACAGGATTACATACGTTAACTCAGGACACCCATTAAATTCTAACACCTTTCTTCATTGCTAACAAATTGCTCAGGGAGCTATCAAAAGCTCAGAGCAGTAACGCCACATTCACACAGGCAGAGAATTTCAAAGAAAGCTCAGAATGAAACTAGGAGTTACAGAGCAACCAGTCAAAGTGACCCCAGTTCTCCAGCAAGAATGGTTAAGTTGTAAACCCAGTAATCTCTTACAGAATTAGAAATCCAGCTGATGAAAGATCAGGGAGTAGAGCCAAAATAATCTGGGACAGTGTCCAAACTGAAGTGAAAAACATTCCACAGTGCTTCAAATTCTGATAAACAGGTAGATAAGCACACTCCTGAAGTAAGGAAATGAGGTTTGGCCACAGCTTTCTGCTAGTTTCTGCAGCCTTCTATTTATTTTTGCAAGAACTAAGCTTGAATTTCTCAAATAAATGAACATCTTTAGTAGGCGATGGCTTTATAGGCAGAAACAGATACTGTATATTTAAAATGACATTCACCATGTTTAAATGGTTCCTCACTGGTTTTGAAGGAGTACATCCTTCCTCTTAGATAACCCAGAGCACTTCAAAAATATCAGTCTTTGAAGCAGTATTTTCCTTGAAATAGAGAACTCAACCTGACATAACCTGGCCTAAAGAAAAAGATTTCACTTCATGCTGAGGATTAGAGGAAAAAGGCCAATTTCCCACTGTGTTATCTACATACAAATGTAACTCCCATCTATACTTCTTTTTTTCCCCCCTCTTCTCCCAGTACACAGGCTTCTTGGGAAAACTGCATTCCTAAAGCATTCATGGTCAGAGTGGCTCAACTCATTCCTCATTCCTCACATAATCCTATTTTACATCAGAGGACCAGAAGGAAGATACTACTTGGTACAAGAGATAGCATCTGGAATCTCATCCTTACAGTTTAACAGCAGCTCTGTGAATCCTACAGCTGGCTTGTCAGCGTGTGGGAATGGAGATGGGGAATGTGTGACTGTGCATCTGTCTACAGGAGTATTGCCTGAAGGTAGGACAGCTGTATTATCCACGAATGCAGAAATCATAAGTGAAGCACAGAAGTTATTTTCCAGTGACAAGGCCAAAGAAAGAAATACTCAGGGTAGGGCATGGAAATAAGCCATTAGTCATCAAGCTTTCTTAGGTAGACTAGAGGGAAGAGAACAAAATAATATTGGCTGCAGCTAAATATTCACTGTTGTCACTATCATTTATTCTGAATGCCCAGATCTGGGATCCAGCTAGAAAAGGCTCTGAATTTACGTGGATGTAAATTAATCTGAGAAGCCAGCAAGAGTTTAATGAGACAATCTTATTTATCTTTTTTATTATAGGATGACCACCATTATCACCGAAATCAAATGGATAATAGTCCCCTTTTTCTTCTCAGCAGTTTAAAAATAATTAGTATTTGCCAAAATTATTTTAAAATTTACAAGGATATATACTTAAGGTATATAATTATTTACAGGCTTAAATTGCTGTAATTTTTTTTCTCTACGCACAGATTTCAGTTGGCTATGCTTCAAATGAGACATGGCAGCAATCTGTGCAATTTAGTACCAAAGACGCTGGAACAGCAAGGAAGAACAGAACATGCTCATAAAAGGAAACCAGCATGTTGAGAAAGACAATTATGGAAGAGAGACCGTGCAGAGCTCAGAAAGGCTCTTCAGAATCTTGAGGTAATTCTAAAACCTTTATAAAATCTTGATCTGGTGCCAAAAACAAATGGCAAACTAACAAATTTGGATTTACTGGTGAGGATAGCAGTATGGCAGCAATGTATTAATTTTTCCGTGGTCACCATGCTGTGAGAAAATCAGTGCCTTTGTGAAACTGGAGAAGGTGGGAACCTTACTGAGTGCTGTTGCTGTTGTTGTGCTCTGCGAGACGCTGGATGGACTCGAGGATCTTGATAGTGAAGAACCAACCCACAACTCCCATAATTAACACATGGGGAGAGAAAGAGCGGAGGTGGGTAGGTGAGCCGCTCGGACTGTACCGGAATATCTTTTGTCTGTCAAAAAATAAACAAAACAAGAAGAAACGCATTACTAATGGCATACGACAAACAGCAGCATATCCACATACCAAATTCCTTGGTGAAAAGAAACAGGAAAGAAAAAACCTCTCTCAGTGTGTGTCACAATGTTCAGTTTATTCTCTTGAGTCTGTTCATGATTAAAAAAATACATTCAGAAATTTTATCTTTGCCATGACACTTTTTTGACACTTTTCATATTAGAATTTTTCTCCTATACATGGCAAGCACATTTCTGGGTGTTTTCTGTCTTCAAGAGATTTTCATCTCATGCCATAGCTTTCAATAGCTTGAAGCAAACCTACACAGACAGGTACTCGTGCAATGAGAAAAAAATCAACTTCTGGTCCTTTGATAATGAACCGAAGTCTGTGGTGTTGAGATTTGATTGAGTCTTATCTTAGGCTGTGTCAGTAGAATCAATAGGAATCTGCCAAGGGACAGAACAAGGAGGAATGACAGATGAGTCAGAACTAAATATTTTGACTTCAGAAAATAAACTAATAAATATGCTACATGACTGTATGACTGCTCCCATATTTAAAAAGTCCTTCACAAGCTCTGTTTAATCATATCCCAAGGCAGAAAGAGACAAACAAGATGAGTCCAAGTGTAAGTTCCCACTACCCAGCTGCCTCAAAAATTTCCTGTGGAAAGAGGCAAGGCTCAGCCAAGTGCAAAAGGAAGAGTTGTGCAGGGGCAAATCTCATGGAGGGGTCGACGCACTGGAAATTTCACACCCTACCTGGTCTCTCTCATCTGCTCATAGTCACAGATAACATGTGGAATGGATTTTTGTCAGCAACTGCAGCTGATCACACAAGGGGGATAGTCTAAAGCTTGGTACCAAGCCTCTTTATGTGGGCAAGCCTCAAGTACACCTCCACTAGCCTCTGTTTCCTCTAGAACACACCAGTGAGCCTCAGCTAATCCCCAGTTACAGCAGATCTGACCTTCTTCCAGGGGAAGAGAGGAAGAAGGAAGGAGTGTACTTGTTCTCCCAGCATAAAGAACCTGAACCCTTCAGGCTGTCTTGCCATGTGCAATGCCAGTAGCTGTTGTGGCTGGTAAGCAAAGGGAGAGGCTGGGGGCTTAAGAAATGGAGATACTCCTCAGTGAGCCCAAGGGCCAGCATTTCAGTTACATCCAGCAACAAGGAACAGGAAAAGAGAGCATACCTGCTGCTGTAACTGCCTTTCCTGTGGTTCCTTTCCTTTCAGACAGGTCTTCATCTGTGAAGAAATTAAATATTCACCCTAGTAAACCAACTCTCTGAAAGTCACATCCAAAGCTGTTCCCGTCATTGCAATGCAGCAACAGCCAAGTTTTACACAAACACCATGCAAGCACATGCACCACCCATAGAGTACATTCACGTGTGCACTGTGGAAACACTTCTCCTTGCTCAGAGAGCTGGGGAGGGTGGAAGAGGCCATGCAGCACCATTTGTAGTTCCCTATTTTCACAGCATCCTCTGACCAGCTGGGGCCATGCAAGTTATGTATTTATGGTCTCTAGATAAAGCAACAATACATAGGAAGAATGTGTCTGAGTGCATTCTACCAATAATAATAATAATAATAATAATTACTTTATCAAACCACCCCAGGAGTAGGCTGCAGTGGGAGAAATATAATTAAAACCTGTTTGCATGCAATACTAACAGATTTGTCCTAGGTATTTCTGCATGCCTAGGAGGATTTCTTTTTTTTTTTTGTCACACTTGCGTGAAGTGCTTTGAAGCACCTATAAAAGCACTTACTAGCCAGAGGCCCTAATACTAATGCTGGCTCATGGCTGGGCTGAGAACAAGGCAGTGCTGCAGTTTCTGTTTCACAACAAAGTTGCGGCAGACAAAAAATCATCTCAGAACATTTTGGTAATCAGCCGTTCTTTTAAGCTATTGCACAATTTTGTTGAGAGAGGGAACCTCAGCATTTCATCATTTTTAAATGGGGTTGAGAAAGCTTAAAGTTTTACATGCCATGACTTCGCCTTGGCTTCCTGAATGTCTGTGAACAGAATACTGACACTACTCCAAAGAGATAAAAAGGATGTTGCAATAACAAATTATTCTAGAGGCTACTTAGCTAATTTGCATGGAGACATTTATTTTTTTCCTCAGTGATATTAATATTACTCCGTAATTCCATGGCAGAGGTCAGGACACATTACAGACACTTTTCATTTCAAAAGCTGGTTCAATGTCATGACTCTAATATCAAGTGCCAGAAAAACAATCAGGAGCCCTCTGGATTTGTTTTCGATTCTCCTCTCCATTTTAAGATATGTTTGAGGATTTTTTGCAGTAAACACTCCCCTCATCTGCTTAATTTGGAAGTTGTCTCTAATCATTTCTCATCTTCTTAACGTATTACTTCAGGATGATTTCATCCCAGGTGGTGACCTCACACAAAATTCAATGTCAATTAATGGAATCTAGAAAGCCTTGTGTTGTGTGGAGAGTGAGAAAATAAAAATAAAATATGCATGTGTTGGCAAGAGCATCTTTCTTTTGACTCATACCTGTGAGTTTAGTTTATTCAGTTGAGTCTGTAATCTCTCATTAGCCTTCTGCAATGCTTCTTTCTCCTCATTAAGTCTTTCTCTGTCAGATCTCTCCTTTTTGAAGTCTTCTTCATATATTTGTACCTGTAATCATTATGACCAAGTCCATGAATTTCAGCAGAGCCACACAGAAATTTTAGTCCACTTTTTTTTGTGTGTGAGATTGCTTTTTTAAACATTTGCCAATCAGAGGGTTGCATCCTAAAAGGATCTTTACAATCCTGCAGCCAAAATACTTTCCCCCATCTTTTTTTTTTTTAATTAAAAATAGCAAATGAAGAGTCTCCAGTGGCACATATCAACTGAAACAGTCCACAGCTTCAGTGTTCACAGACACATGTAATTACTGGGGAATATCATTTTAAAGACTATAAATAGGATTGCAAGGATTAAAGACATGGATATTTTTAGGGGATAAACAGTAGTAAAGAAAATATTCCCTTTTTTCCCCCCAATCTTCTTTTCAATTACAAGCCCTTGCAACTTCCCCCTGTACCTCACTGAGCATCCTGATGGAGTCAGGAGGCATCAGCATAGCACAAAAAAACAACTTCCAGCACACAGTCTGACATAACATTATCATTTTATCCAACCTAACAATGAACAGCTATGATTAAATAGTGTCCTGCCTTTTCCATAGCCACTAAGCACTACAGGACAAGATCAGCCTTGTGCCTGTCTTGTTTTATGCCCTGTAGTTTTACTTTACATGTTGCTCTAACCCTCTAACATTGGTGCAGATCAAAGGATTAAGCCGCACAGAAATACTGGTACTGTTTAGAGCTGTATATTAATGGCCAGAAGACCTGGACAAGTCAGGACTGTCAAGAAGTTTAGACCTTGCCTGAAACACTGTAGGAAGAAATCTGTAGGAGGATGCCTTGCCCTAGAAGCTGGAAAAGGGATGGAAAAAAAAAAAACCAAAAACCTGGCCAATGTACCCTTTGTCTGTGATAGCCCCTCTGACTCCCCTTCTCAAACAGCTGCCCAAAGAACCTACCCATTTCAGCAAAGAGGAAGACGGGATAATTGATGCACAATTCAGAATGCAAGCATGGGGGTATGACCCAGTTCCTAGAAGAAAAACTGCCTGTTGATACTGAGGAATACAGTATCTTTTCTCTTCTTATGTCACATGGGGTCATAGCTCTGCACCCAGTTTAAAGAACAACTGACCTCCCAGGGCACAGACAGCAAATATATTCAGAAGCAAAATACAAGTCCACAAGTTAATTGACATTAAGCTGACTGGCTGAAGAACTAAGTTTCTTCAGCTAATGGACAGTGTGAACCTGGAGGTTGGTGGCACTTCCATAGACAAATAACAGCAGAAGTACATTGGAGTGGGAATGACCATAAGAGCTTCCAGGAGTTCTTTTGTGTCCTTGCAGTTGGCCACTAAAGCCTGCTGACAGTCTACTTGCAGAGTTTCTTTGCTGCAGTTTAAGCTCTGCCCATAGCACAGACCTAGTTTGCTTTTTGCTGGCAGCAGTATTATGACTTCACAGGAAGACTAAAGAAATGTTAATGCCTCAGGGAACAAAAAAAGTCAACATAGGGCTCCATAAATTATTTTCATGACTTGCCTGTTGCAGCTAATTTTTGCAAGGTTTTTAGGGCCCAGAGGCCCCCCACTAGATATAATCCCTTTCCTGAATAACACGGTGTAAAAACGAACAAAGGCTTTCTGTGTGGCCACGTGGAGTCTCAGCTCCACAGCCTGTGGCTGAAGGAGGCATGAATGCTGTGATCCCCTGAAACAGATGCAAAGCTGTCACCTACTGACATGTAGGTTTCTTGTATCCCTGTCCATCTACACACATGTCAGCGTTTCCTCATTTCTTCTTTCCCACTTTGCTCTCTGCTGTCTCGCCTCCCTCTTAATCCCCAGCTGTAGGGATCTGTTGAAGCTGAAAGGGAGCAAACTTTGTCACAGTTTTGTCAGATATTCTCTTGCGCAGAGAAAGGGAGGGACACCTCCCAAGGAATGAATGCCTTCAACTCATCTGTAGTGGCCAGGGGTGGGTTGATGACAGCCAAGATCTGGTGAGACTGTCACATCACTTTTCGTCCCAAGGATCCCTTTCTCTGTAAAGATAAAGCCTCCTGCTCCACTCTGTGCAAAAGGAAGTTTGGATTCACAGTACTGATTTATAGAACCAGAAAAATACATTCATAAAATGGTTATCTCATGAGAATTCTGAAAAAATTTGGTTTACTCTATTTTATTGTGGAGAATGAAATATGTCATTATTGTACAATCAAGTGCAGGATTTTATTTTCCAGCATGTGGCAAGCATTACATTAGAGAGCAAACTCTAGCTCTGCTGTCAAACGTGACAGAAACAAGTATTTTATTTCTATTGAATAAAATTTCCATTCTGATCATATCAATTTGTGTGTCAATAATGTTAACCTTAACACATTCCAGGATGACTGACCTAAACTGCAGAACTATCTGTAAAGTAACATGCTTTAACCAGATTCTTTCATGTGCAGACAGAGAGTTCACAAAGCACTTGAATAGCTTAAAATGAAGATTAAAAAAAATAAATACACTTCTCTTTAGTCACAGGCATACAAGTTATGGATGCTAATGTTTTGCCTCATACTTTAAAACACGCAAGACCAGCACTAATGAATTGTTTTGAGAATCCTGGTCTTGGCAAATTAAGCTTTCAACTTCAACAAAATAAGAAACAGAAGACACAAGCGACCAATTCATCAGTAACTGATGAAGTTCATCAATCTCTCTGGATGAATTCAGCCCATAACAAGAGGCTGCCAGGACACCTCCAAGAACCACAAACGCCATTTTGCCACTTGAGATCCCAGACAAGGCCTTGCTCCAGACCTTTGCAAGGATTCAGTTTCACTTTATGGACTCTGCTGTGATGACAGCATCTTAGCAAAAACCAGTTTGAATAGCTTAGAGCTCTTACAGCTTCTTTTCAAAAGTACCATATAACGAGTCAACTAGACACTGCTCTTGGGAGTGAAGGCAAAACCACATAGTATGAAATTCAGCCAGGCTTTTTCCTAGCCATTCCTACCTGTTGTTTGAGAACTTCAAGTTGGGTTCTCATGTCCTCAAGACTGTTCTTGTCACCAGTCTCTGAAGGAGTCCCGAGAACAGACGAGTTCTTTTTCAGCACATCCAGAAGAGCCTGTAACATAAAATATGACACTTACTACTGGGACTCACCACATCAGAAAAAAATATTTTAATCCATTATAATGTTTTCACTTTAAATAAACAGATTAGAGTGAGTCACAGACTTTTTCTTCACTTACAGTTGCTTCAGTTATACACACAATGTTGACCTCACTAACAATAACATGTATGCATGCCTAAGTCCAAATTTTCCAAGTGCCCACACTGCATTCATGAATCTGAGACAGCGCAGTTTAGAAGACTGTGTTTTTACTTACAAATACAACCAACAAATAACAGTGAACATCACAGCTGCAATTCTCATCCAGAAATGCCATTTTACCTGTGTAAATCAGAATTCGGGAAAACCAAGGGAGGTGTCTAAATTCATCTGGATCCAAAAACAAACAACCCAAGACTGTTTAAAGAAGCATTCTACCATATCCTATATGTGTAACTATAGTAAAGTCTGATCAAAACACCCTCTGCAGAAGGAGTACAGACTTCAACTAGAACCAAAGGGAAAACTCCCTTTGAAAGGAAGTTATGTAGTCTCTGTAATTTGTCACTAGAGGGAGTTATGTATACGCACACTACACAGAATGTTCTTATGCTATTTTTCAGTCAAATTCTGCTACTTAGAATGTTTTATTTAGTAGTATTCCACAGCAGTCCCTTGGACTGGAATAGTTTTTAAACTACTCTTACCACTTTTTGTCTATCACCACACACTATGCTCATGTATTTATTTACTCTAGCACAGATGCTACAGTTTCAGTACTTTTCTATGTCTCTCACAGGACATACAGACTCAGCTAATTTCATTCATTTCAGAAGGCTACCTTCTTGCTAATGGTCCCCAGCTCCTCATGGCCGGCCACATACTAATCATGTCTTAAGAGAAGGGGGAAGATCATTTGGAAGAGGAAGAAGAAATAGACAGGAAAAAAAAAAAAAAAAAAACCCAGCATCTAACGTAACACAAGGATTAGTAGTATTATGGACTGAATCTTCAATGAAGTACCAAACAGAGAACAAAAAAAAAAAAAAAAAAAAAAAGCACTTCCTGCAAAGAATGAAGAAGAGAAAAGGGAGGCCTTTTATCTGACGAGCTACTGTCAAAAGGATAGTGCAGAAGATAAATAGGCATGTAATAATGGTAAAGTTTGTGTACCATGTCATACATGAATAAGATTGAACATAGATATGGGAGAATAAAGATACTAATAGCTCACTGATTGATCTTCCTTTTGTCCCTTCCGGCCTCTGCTAATCTCTCTCAGCATATGACACTTCAGCATTCTGCACAAATAGCAGAACAAATAAAAACAAACTTCACATTGGCATTTAGACTGGAAGTTGTTCATTACAGCTACAAGGAATGGAAGATGGAAGCTATTGTGAGCTGTATGTTGCACAGTAAATTATAAAATTTATAAAAATTATTAAATGATAAAAGCTTCTTTCATTATAAAAATAAGGACAAAAGTATTATGCAGTGATGATCTGAGCAAAACTAAAGATCATATTACCCAAGAAGAATACCAGAGACCAACTCCATGCAAGGAACATGTAAAAATGAGGAAGATCTCACAGCTCACTGAGTTAAATTCATGCAGTGTCAAATATTGTTCATTCAGAAATACTGAAAACCACAACCTGAAATTGCAAGATTAGCCACACAGAGCTTTTCTGAAATTTTCTACATCAAAAAGGGAAATGTGTGACCAAAAAATATCTAGCTTTATTCTAAAAGTTATGAGAAGGATAAATAGTCCATGCATCTAGAAATACCTTAATCTAACCAGAATACATTTTTAGGCCTGGGAATAAATTCTGAAGAGAATAGTCATAGAGACATGAGAAACGGGAGGAAGCAAAGCAGTTTAACCTGACATCTTTCATTAAAAATAAAGAAATAAATAAATTACAAAAACTCACAGATTTTCTTAATGGGGAAATACATTGCAGTCTATGGTTGAATAACATAACCTAGATGGTAATACAGCAAAATTATCCATTAAGTTAGAGAGAAATTTGTCTAATACTTTTGCTGTACGGTGAAAGTCGATACTGGGACATGGTATTGCAAACTATTCTGGCATTACAGAATCAGTTTCATAATACAAACATCAAAGCAGGGTCAGACTAAACCCTGCATCATGGGCTCTCCAGATGACTGGATCAACATGAAGCTCGAAGTAAATGTACTTAGACACAGTAGTAATGTCTTCAATAAAAAGGGAACTAAGCAATTGAAATGACTGAGGTGCAGAATCATACATATGAGCAAGTATAGTTGCATATTAAGAGACCAAAAGAACTGGGTCAGCTTAACTAAACTGTCCTCTAGTGAAAATATGACTGCCCTGTGTAGCTAAATGTAAAAGTAGAGGTAACGGCAGGAGTGAAGGAGATCTGCTACCATAAGAACAAATGAGTATCAACTGGCCAGAATATATTCTGCCCAACTGAAAGAGATGAAGTGTCTAATGAAAACAGAAACAGAGTTCCAGAACAGCCTTCCAAAAGATGCAGTGTAGAAGGAGTTTCAAGTATTTTTAATAAAGAAGTTTGATTTAGGAGAATTTGTAGGAACTTCATGTCACTGAAATTGCAATAGCACAGTTTTATATGCATTCATGACATGAAATGTGAAGGATGCAGTTACATAGGAAATCAGCATCACTCACGTTAGAAAACACATTGCATGAAATTGATGTTTCATTTAAAAATATGCTTTATTCACCTACATCTTAGTTCCAATAACATTATAAAATAAGAAAGCAAAATAAAACATTGAAGTAAGCTGTTTTTACCAAAAAAAAAAAAAAAAAAAAGGAAAGAAAGTCACAGTAAGGTTTTGAGCAAGTCTTGCTAAAGCATTTCAGAATGAGTTAGAAATCATGAATTCTGTCAGATTTTAATATGGGACATGGTATTGCTTTTTTACCCCGACTTTTGCAGGTCCTCTAGCTTATGTTGCACTTAAAGACACACAGCAGTGGTTACTGCAGTGCATTTCCTCAGGAAGCGTTTGTGGTTCACCATGAAATATAGAATTGTTAGGAAACACCCACTGCTTCATGCGATCTTCTGATCAAACTAAGTTACATGTATTACTTTCCCTCCAGTGGAAAATTTAAACAAACCTTGAGCTATTTTACGGCAATTTCTTCAACAATATATACACAAGTACACGAGAATATGCATACACACGTGTATGTATGCATAGAAGAACAGGAGCATCTGTCTTGTGAAGAGAAGCCATTTTTTAGCAAAACATATGTAAAATAAGTTTTTAAACTAATTTTTTTAAAGCATTGTTTCATTAGACGCATACGAAAGTATCTTTCTGCCATTTCCTATTTCTCTTCTGTTTTAACAAGGAGAAACCTAGAAAGAGCGTAAGTGTGGTACAGAGAAGTTTCACAGAAGCAGCCAGAGATTTTCTTTCTTTAATCTTTACAGTGCAAACTCTGCTGCCTGCCAAAGCAGCATGCCCAGGTATTTGCTAAATTCAGTTCATGCTTGTTTCCCCAGCTCCCTGAATCTGTCATCTACAGATTAACAGTGATTTTTTTTGCTGCCATGAACAGACTGTTCACTCAGGATTGGAAAGAAGATCATCAGTTGGTGTCAGTGTTTGATAGTAGAGGCCCTAGAATTAAAAGGAGAAGTGATTTTCTGGCCAGCGCCTCATTCTTTTTCCTACCTTATTGAGACGACTTATTTCACACTCGTAGTGCTCTTGTTTTCTTATCATTGATGCATTCTTCTGCTTCAGGAGCTTGTTTTCTTCCTTCATTTCATGCAGAGCTTCACTGAGGACCTTTATTTCTTTCTGGGATGCAAAAACACAGAGAAATACTGTTGAAGAAATGCAGACGAAGCCATTTGTCAAGAACAGTTTTCAGAATATCTGCTGTCTGGCAGATATGCTGAATTTCTGGTCTCCCAAACATAGCTGTGAAGGAAAGCAACAGGAAGGCAGGTGGTTAGTAAAACCAAAATATGATAAAGTCTGTTGAAACCATTTTGACCACTCACCATACGATGAGATAGAAGCAACATAACAGACTAAATTCTCTACAATCTGCAGTTGCACAAAGGCATGATAAAGCTGGCAGGCCAAGGCAAACCGTAGCATACAAATGACCATCTCAATCCTGCTTCAGGCTCATCTACCCATACCAGGGATAGAGGCTTGTGGAGTCCCAGCCATTCTCAATGTCATGTAACATTGAAGATAAAACCACTTCTCAGTGTTACACAGTCTGAGGGCTTGAGAAACTAAGGTGAGCCTAACCCTGCTCAAAAATTACCATGCAACCAACGAAGGCTTATAGAAACCCACTTTTTTACCCCATCACAGTTGTTGGTGCCTTGAACTTGACCCTTCTTGGTATGTCTGTCTACACTGTTTCCTTCAAGTAAGCTACCATGAAGATGTTCCTATTTGCAATAAGACTTACAGAAGCCTTTCAAGATAGTATTGTAGGAATTATTAGGACAGATTTGCCAAATTAAGTTTGATTCCCTTTTCCTATTGCTTTTAACAATTTTCAGTTTACAATGAAGGGAGCTAGGATTGAGATACAGCCTGAAGTAGCTGGTGACGTGTAAGCTTCCCTCCTTTCTCTCCCAGGGAAAAGCATTCCTTGCTAGCCTGCTTTTATCCCATTGTCTGCTGGTTACACGTATTGAACAGAACGGTCTGTTCTACTAAAAACAAATATTTCAAACATACTTCTGCAGTTGCCTTATGTGATAAAGAAATGAAATCCAACAATCACACATATGTGATACTATCTGAATGCTCTGTGCAACAGGCATCCCTCTGTGCAGCTACGAGGCATTCATGTTTGAGCTCATGAGATATGAATCGCAGTGTACATATCAAGTCATTGAAAAACACCCTTGAAAAACTGCCACTTATGCAGGAGGTAGCTTTATTTTCCTTTGTTCTAGGCTACTTGGAACGTCCGCATAGGAACTCGGGAGCTTGCCCAAGTTGGTATGCTTGAAGATATTAAAATAAAAAATAATAGCAAAAATTAAATTTCTGATAGGCTATTATTATATTCTATGCTTCACCATTACCACCCTCTTTCCTTAGCTCCTGGCACACATTCTTCTCCAGGATTGATAGCTTAGAGAACATGGCTATTTGCAAGTAAAGATTTCCAGCTTGTTGAGGTTTTTGAACCATTCTTCTTATTCAACTCTGAATTTTAGTTGTTCTGGCACGTAGACTTTATCGTAAGTCTTTGATCACTGCCTATGGGCATGTCGTCAAGCCCAAAAAGAACAAAAAAAAAAGTGTATTTCCAAAAGAATCGGTTTTCCTCTGTGGGCCACGGAGGTCATGGGAACAGACAGCTAAGTTCACAACATTGTCTTTCTGAGACATACCTTCAGATGCATCAAAAAAGGAAACAGCCCCCTACAACAGCAGTAGTGGGTGATCTACCCCAGGACTATTAGCTGCTGCTGGCTTTCCTAAATGGGTCAGGAAAGCATGCAGAGAATGGCTACTCTGCTGCTACTCTACTATGGCTGTGGGATTAGATAAGCAATTAGAGAGCAAACAACACTCTGTTCTGGCAATAGCTTTCTGCAGCCTCTCCCAGCTCTGTGGCTATGGGATGGGATGTGGAGCATTTGAAAAAGAAACTACTGCTAACTTCTAAGAAAATTATATATATATATATGTATGTATGTATGTATTTATGTATGTATGTATATATGCATGCATTTAACAAAATATAAATACTGTTATAAAGAATGTTAGATGCTTTAGAAAAAAAATATATAGCCCTACAAATCTAACCTTGGTAAATTTATCAGCCTGGGTCCCTTCAGTATGCTGAACAATAAAGACAAATCTTGTTCAATTGCTTTCAAGCTGAGTAACTTTAAGCATTTCTTTGGATCATCCCCTGGAATTGTTTTTTCTTCATCTAGCCCCATGGGCAGCCTGGGTTGACATGGGTATTAAAAATCATGTTGCTTATTCAAAATCCTCTGCTTTTAGCAGCTACATCTGCAAGGGTATAGATCTTCTGCACCCTTGCAGGTCATCCAGCAGGTAAAGAAATTCAAAGGGAATAGAAGCACTTTCTGGCTGACTATATAATTTGTAAAGAAACTGCTGATCTGAGGCTGGCACATGTAAGGGGTTTCTGGCGTACAGAGTTATTTTGTTCATTATTTGCATATCTAGTTAGAAAAATAAAAATATATATGGAAGAGCACACCCTTTCAAAGAGGCAGCTATTTTTCACAGCTATCATATTGTAAAGGCTGGGCAATAAAACCTGTAGTAATATGAACAGGAAGATGAACTGTCTCCCTTTGTCTGCACGCTGAGGGTAAACACAGGCACTGATTCAGCACGTTCATAATGGCACGGTTCGCTTTAAAGCATGAAAATAGCTTGTGGATTTACTTTAGTGGAAATGCTTCAGGGATCTGACTTCCAGTGCGCATCCCTATGCAAGAGCCACTGCCTAAGGACTCCTGAGAGAGGTGCCTGACTATTCTGAGTGAAGTGAATGCTTCTCTAGAACAGCGAGCTACAACTGATCAGTCCCATCACTTTCAGCACTTAATACCTGTAATCTTTAAGGGGACCTAAGACAGCTAGTTGTAAACTGTTGACGCTAGCCCACATGTAAAAACGTGTATCAAAAAGTGGGGTATGGAATTCAGTTCATTCCCTTAGTATTTATTGCCAAGCATTTTAAATAAATCTGCAGCTTTTCCACTGGAAGTCTCTGTAGTACTTTCTTTCACTGAGCACTCAAAGAAATTTACCCTGAAATTAACACTTAGGCAGAACACCTCTGCACTGTGCACATCAATCTGCCCTTTATTCCCACACACAGACTACTGCTGTGCGGTCTGACAATTTCTATGCAAATGACTGTCTCACCACGTAGTTCTCTGAGCAGACTCTGCCTCGAGTCCAGTACTGAAGAGTCCAGCACCACAACCCCATCTACTGGTTGTACAACAACTCACGCTATGCAACTCGCTAGAAGAGAGAAAAGGCAGGATAGCATTCAGCGTTGGGTAAGAGTGCACCCTCCTACCATTTCCTGTGATGGTGTGTCTCTGTCCAGGACCTGCAATCTCTCTTTCTCTGGAAGATGTCGATGTCTTTCTTCCTCCAGCTCACTGACTCTTCTCTCTGACACGTGCAGTTTTGCTTTCACTTCTGCCAGCTGAAAGGCAAGTAACAAACCATGGTGGGCTGCTGTGCATCCTGAAGGGCTCAGCACACCAAAGGTGCCATGGCATCCCTTCAGCTCTCAGTAGATCGGTATAAAGAAGTGGGTCTGTTTGGCTGTAAAGTTCCCAGTCACTTACTTCTCCCCCCCACCTCCCTGACTCCGAGCGCTGCTGCTCTATTTGAAGAGTCTTAATGACTCTGGGCAATTGCTTTCATGGTGCTCAATCAGTTGATTCTAGCACTGATTTTGCTGCCAAAGCACAGCTACTAAGGATTTGTTCCTCTGTATGAATTCTTCATTTTAATGTCCTTTTCTCCTTTCTCTTTGCAACATGGACCAGGTCTGCTCTAGTACACATCCAAAGCAATGAAGCCAGAGGCACAAAAATGTGTCATATTAAATGAGGAAGAGTCATTTGAATTCTTCTCCTCCTTTGGGTGGGGGGGAAGAAAAATCAAGGAAGAAATTATCCGGATCTCAGTAAAACTTACTGGAACATATTAGAGAGACAATTTTCCTGATAAGTACATGAGGTCACTCATCCGACTTCCTTTTCATAGAAGGAAATAAGAGATGAGAAGTGCCAGCTTACAAAGCGATTTGATTTTTGGAGTATCAAAAGAAATTGCAAGCACTCCGTTAATAAACCAGAGTGGTAAGTACCATGAGAGGTGGGACAAGAACCAAAAGATACATAGTGATGTGGATCAGTGGCTGGATGCATCAGACACCACAAGTTACTTTTCAGTTACTTGTGCTCTGAAGTGTGCCCTTTTGGAAGATATGAAGTTGTCTGGTCTCATGTCCAGCCCGGTTCCCTACTTAGAGAGATGGGCTGCTTCTCTGTTCTCTTGTTATTTTATCCCACTGAAGATTGTGCATGCATTATCTTCACTTGTATGTGATGAAGTATTTTTTACCTATGTGAGCTAAAGACAAAGTAAATATTATGCTTCTTGCCCCCATCCCTTCAAAAGATACTCACCATAGATATGCCTGGCTGGTTTTTAAGCACCGACTTGACTAACTAGCAGCAGGTGACATTCATATTCCAATAGGAGTAATCAGCATTGTTACCTGTTTTTCATAAAGCTGTTTCATGGTTCTAAATTGATGGTCCCATTGCTTGTTCACCTCCAGAAGCTGTAATTATCAGGAAGTCACAGTAAATAAGTCTTATTTCAACACTGTCAATAAACTAAAAGAGACTGGTACTCAAACTATATGTGTTCACAGTCTCCTTGTTATCTGGCCAGTTCATATCAGAGAAAGTAAATGGAACGTTTGGCAAGCTTTATGGCCCATCTGTCAGTTATTTGCTATTTCAGTTACAGTACATGAATGTTCAGGAAGTAGCAATCAGAAAACATGCAAATATACAATAAATTCTAGGTGAATCACTAGCAAGACTGAACAAACCCCCAAGCTGCAGCTCCTACATGGCTAAGGACTTTTTGTTAGTCTGCTTTAAATTACATAAACATATTTGCAATTAGAAGGCCACTGGCTTCAAGTGAATAGAACACGTCTATTAACTGCAATTACTACTGAGTGCAGAGCTTTCTTGGCTTTCTCAGTACCACTAAACTGAAAAATAGCCTGCAAGACAGGGAAGCCTAGCAAACAACTTCCATGCAAGTATTACAACTGAAATCAGTGTGTGTGCATTTTTATTGAAGAAAGCCAAATAGCTCTCTCAGAAACATTTTGATTTTTAGGATACAGGATCACACTTTGGGATGCTCAGCAAGAAAACAGCTCCCAGTTTGCTGCTGCCTGTGAATAAGACTCCATTTGCTAGTACTCATAGTGATTCTTTGGCCTTCACCATAGGGATCATTAAGAAAATTTGCCCTTTATGACACAAAAATCTCTGCTCTTCTGGATTAATATTTATAATAGACGATAATTTGATTTTGGAGGCGGTTCTCAAAATATTATACTATAGATAAAGATTATAACTGTAAAGGCTAAGGATAGGTAAATTCGAGATTACCTCTTGTCTCTGTCTTTCCAGTGAGAGGATATGTCGTTCCTGAGAGTTGGCTAATACAGTCTTCTGTTTGTTTGGTAATATGTGCTTTGACTGGAGGAAAAAAAGTGCTTAAAATGAATATTTTCAGCATCCTCTCTTCAAGTCAATATTATCAAATAAAACTTCCATCTACCCTGCTATGTGCATGTAAAGAATTTAAAGCAGCAACATTTTCTCTCACTGTATTTGATTTCGGTACCTCAACACTCACTGGCAGTGGATTCTGAAGCATACATCTGCTTTAACCCTGCTTGGCCTGTGCTTTAGAGCCGTTTTGCAAATGGATTCCAAAATAAACAGGATTATGACTATTCACACCATTTCAGAAGCAGAAGACAAAAAAGGCTTTTAATCATCTTACAGATGGTACTACAAACAAATAGCGCAAGCCACAGAAGTTGAGCATAAGTTAAAAGTGGGTGCAAGCAATTCCCTTCATTTACAAGAACAAGAATATTATGTAATGTCGCACCCAGTAAGTGTTTGCAGGCCTGGAGAAATAATCTTTAAAACAATGGGTTCAAAAAAAGCAATACAGAAAATGAATTGGCTATTTGAAGGAATTAGGGAAATCAGTCCAATCAGCGGTTCTTCCATAAAATCCATGCAGGACAATAGCAGCTATGTCCTCATTTCTGTAATGGCAATGCCACATTTAATTTTCAAGGAGCTTCTATGGGTTGTTACAAAGGTATACACGTGGTATATATGTGTAAGATAATTGGCCTGAAAAAAATGTTCATGTTCATTTAAATATACTACATCAGATCAGGGATATTTTTCTCTCCCTAGTCTGAATTCTAATCAATAAATAAGCAAAATGTAGAATAAAAGTATGAGCACTTCTGAGATATTATGGCTCCTGAAGTAAATTTATTTTCTTCAACTAGAGAATTTAATGCCAATACCAATGAAGAAAATTACAGACTATCTCTGTAGACCTTTTTCATAGTACAAATCCTGACCATGTATTTACCCCATGGCCAATCCTGCCGAGTTCTAACGTTGGAGCACTTGACTTCAAGAAAACGATTTCTTTCTCTTCCTGTAGAAGCTCACCAACATGTTTAAATTAAAGCATCTAAAACAATTACATGTCCATCAATTGACTTATTCATGTGTTGAATTGTTTTCAATTGTTTTTCAATTCAAACAGCACTTCAGAAGGAGCCAAAACATTCACTTACTTCTAGCAGGTCTGCTGGAGCTTCCATCTCACTCATGTCTGCCCATGTGCTTCCAAGACGGCCTTCAGCATTCGTCTCACTGCGGGTCTTTGAAAGAAGGGCAATGAAAGATGATGGAAAATGCACAGAACCGCAGGAGAAACACGAGTGCTGCCTGTGGAAGCAGTGGGGACTGAGCACTAGGTGGTGGAATTTTGATTTTAAGCTTTTCCTCCTTCCTATCTGGGACTTCCCAGAATGGTTCAAGCATACTGCCTATGACTAATGCACCAGGCAAGGCAGCACTGAGTGCTCTGTATGTAAATTGCAATTGACCGGACAGTTTGCCCCCTGAGAGGAAGTTACATGTGTAAGGGAAATAAGGGTACATTTTTCTCTGCAAGTAGGACAGCAGGGTTTTCTATCCCTGCTTCCAGGTGTAACAGAGCACTTACGTAAGTATGGTAAATATTAAGTAAGACAGTGTGAACTGTCGTGGTAGATAAAATTAGTGAATCATGCTTAGAAAGGTTATGATGTTAACAGCTATGAGGAAGAGGACACCCTTACAAATACCAGGATGTCAGGAGCATCTTAACTGGAAAACTGATTTACTTTCCTTGAAGAAGGGCAGCACAAAGATGAAGAAGGGCAGCAGATTTTGTTCTTATCACAAGGATGTGCAGTTTTAGTCAGTAACTTTAAGCATGGTTCTAGTGTCAAGGTACTCAAGTCTTAATAGTTTGAACTTATGTCTTAGTTTCCCTCTTGGGAAAAGCAGTTGACGTTACCAAGTTAAACTCGCAGAAAAGATCAACAAGGAAAAAAATTCCACAGACTTCACATGCAAAGTGAAGAGAAAATATAAAAGCACAGAGCATCACTGTCTTTAGTCTTGGAATTCTGACTGGCTATGAATTCAAGAAGGAAAGATGAAAGAAAAATAATTTTCCTTATTGTGGATAGATCCCCAGATCTGAAGTCTCTTTTCAGTGAGGGCATAAGTTATTCCATTGCTTGAAAAGCAAATAAACAAAGACTGGCCTGTGAAATGTAACATAGAATACTATAATTCTTCAGGAGATCTTTCAATTTGGAAAACAGCATTAATCAAACTCAAGTAATCCTGTGAATTGGTGGAATTTACTAGCTACATTCTAGCTTTCTGGTTCATAATGTGTGACTAGGCAAATTCTGTTTTCCAAAATACAAAACCCAATCTGGGAGAGAGCTACTATTTGAAAACATTTGCACATGAAATATATCCTCCCAACCATGACGTTGTTCTCAAGTCTTCTCTTTTGTGCAGTGGCTACAAAACTTGTGGGTTATAAAAGAAAGAAGTTAAAAGTCACATTTTATTTTAGTAAAGATACTTTAGATTCTACATGGAAGCCATTCTACCCATCAAAAAACAAAAGCATTTCATCTGTATATATGCCAAAACCAGCCTTGGAGTACATATCCCTTCCACACACAGCACTGGTTTAAAAAAAGGAAAATCTAGGTGCACAGCAGCAATTTCCACAATTGTGGTTCTTGAAATTTCTCCTATAATTGATACAATGTAATTGATATATGCCAGTAACTGTCAGACTGTGAAACAAAGTAAATCTCTCCACCACCTAAGCAAAATTTAGTCCAAAGCCAAATTAAGTGAAACAAGAAAGTCATCCTCTGGAAACAGGTTTGTGATAAGGCCAACTTCTAAAATGAATAAATACATCGCACTACACGAGTAAAGTAGTAATAGTAAAAATGTAAAATCCCCACAGTGAGGTAGGAAGAGGAAGGAAGCATCACACATTTTTAGAATGAGACCCAATATTGCAATAGCATTGTCAGACATTTATGTCATATCAAACCTTAGGATTTCAAAGCAAGCCTAGGTAATAGCCCTATCATACATGTGGGGAAACAGACCAACTGAGCCCTAAAGATCAGACAGATCGTGGTGTCAGATTGGTGAGTGAATAATATCTCCCTTTCACCCACAGTCTCGGGCTGTCCCAGTCACTTCTGTAGCATCCATTAATTAGGTGTCTGTATAATTTTGTGTTCTCACACCCAAGACAGAGGAAAACAATTTTCTAGACTGAAATTACTGCACATGAATAGTCAACAGTTAGCTGCTGACTGAGAGAGTAATGTCACTAAACACAGATGACATGAACAGCCACTACTTCTCATCTCCTCATCATGTCCCAGTACCTTCTGCTGTGCCTGCCACAGCCATAAACACTATAAACTCATGGAAACAGAACTTGCAAAATGCCAGGCGAGGTGCTAAGCATTTCCTGCAGTGGGGACAGAAGAGCAAACTGAGGGCACAGACCTGCTTGTGAATCACAGCTCCCACTTGAAAAATGCTGGGGCTCAAATCATTTCAAAGAGAAGGCTAAGACCCTGGAGTTCACACGGTTTTGTTACCACTGATTAGTTCAAAACAGTTATGTGGAAAGTTGGGTGGACATTAGGGCCCTAAATCATTAATTATTAATACCATAGTGATCTCATTAATGACCACTAGAACTGAATGGTTATCTTGTAGACTGAAAGATTCAAAACTTTTCAGACTCTGCTGTGTCATACTATAGCACAGGGCTGTGACCTCATGGAGGCTATGGGAAAGTTCATATAATTCTTTCTTTTAAAGTCCTCTTCTGCCTCAACTAATGAAAATCTGTCCAAAGTTAATATTTTTTAGTATTATTTTGTGAAAAATGCAGATTTCAGTTGAACAAGAAACATCTTGATGCGAGCAGAAATCTATAGATTTTGACTAGTTGCAGCCTGTGCATACATATTAAAAATGGTTCCAATTATACTTGTACCATCTTACTCTTAACTATCACTTTCTACTGCAGGGATTTCATTCAATACATGACAGAATAGAAATGACATTAAGTTCTCGTTAGTATGTAGGTAGGCAAGCTCAGCATTCTTATGGATAATACCAGTGCCCCTTCCGGCAGTGCTTTAAGCCAATTGGCCTTTTAAAAGATTTGATAGGAAATCCAAGTCGGGCCAAAACCAGCCCAAGGTGCTGTTGAAGGGCAATGGTTCTGGTCAGTGGTGCAAGCGGTTTGATGGGAGATGATAGGTGTCTTGGCCCCTCCCTCACAAATGCTCTTCTGTTCCCATTACCACATGAGAACAATAGTGGACACTGGAAAAAGAAGTGTGTCTGAAATCTGTAAGAACAGAAGAAAAGCCAGTGAGTAGGGAACAGAAGTTCAGCCCTTCAGAAGTACTGGTCTTATTCCAGCAAAACTTGGGAGAGGTTGAAGCAAAGTATTTTTCTCTCCTTGAAAACATTTAATGGCACTGGAAAAAAAGATGAGGGGATGACATTCATTTTCTTTTGCTGAGAGAAAGCTACTAAATTTGTTTATCAGTCTATTGCTTCACAGTGTAAAACAACTTAATTACATGATAGCAGTGCAGAAATTTGAGATGTATTTGTAAAACCCCTTGAAAGAAAGGCTCTTGAGAGCTATGGGACTTCAGGAGAAAAAAAAAAAAAAATTAACATATTTACAAGCAGCTTGAAACTGTTGAATCAAATAAGCTATTGTTGATCGCCTGGAAAATTCTAGTTCAAGACCAGACAGTAAATGCAGTAACAAAGCTAAAACAAAAGCAGAGTGTTTACAGATTCAAGCAATGTTTTAAATACACTGTTCAAATTTGCCAGCCTGCACAATACACCCAGATCAGTTAAAGAGTTGGGGGGATGAAATTTGACCTTATGCTACACAGCCACAAGAAGCTCAGAGAGAGCAGAAAATGACAGCTGAAGAGGGGGTCTGCAAAGTGTAAGAGGGGATCTGCACAGAACACCATGAAAGCAAATTTTGGAGGCTGCCCAACAACTCTCACAGTAAGGACTGGAATAGGACTTCAGACATGGACAGGACCTCAGGCCACATACATATGGGCCACAGTGTGCAAATCAGCACTCTGTGTAGCACTGAAGTAAAGGGCTTGCAGAGAAAATGAGTCCCTTGGAATAGAGACTAACAAAAATCAGATTTTATTGTGGTGAAATCATTTGTACTTCAGCCACTGACATGCAAAAACTTAATTCACTAAACGTGACATAACAGCAGTAACAAACTGGTCAGCAAGTGCTATAAATCCCTGTCGAATGCTTACACAAACCTTTATTTCCCTATTTTTTCTCTTCCTCTGAAGTTTTTGTCATGCCCTTTACTGGCTACACTTTAAAAGCCTCCAGTAAGCAGGCTGCAGGGAATAGTCTGTGAGTGCAGAAGTCCAAATTTAGTAACCTCTTACAGTATTACTACCTCCGACTTCTCCAGAAACGTGCAAATCCATGTCCCCATCCACAGCTGTCAGCGTCATGTTACTTCTTTCAATCTCCCTACAGTATGCCACTCAGGCCTTTATCTAGCAAGGCTGATTTACATGTTATAGAGAAAGAACTTCCTCTAGAATTGCATGCTTTTTTCATCTGTTTCACCCTTTCCTTCTATTCCCACTCTTTCCAGAAAGTCAGTCCCTTTGCACGTTTCTTACACCTGACCCACATAAGAAAACAAAATGTCACTATTCCTGCTGCTGGGCTGAGACCGAATACAAATAATCTTTTCCTTACATTTAAATATAGTTCAAGAAAATGTGGAAAACAGAATTGGTGCAGATTTTGCTCTCCAGAAGAGTCAGTGGAGTGCTGTGTCTTAAGAATTGGTACAAGAATGGTCATTTTCCTTCTGCAAAGAACTGGTAGTTTCCCCTCTGCCTACGCATATAGTAGGAATGCTTTCTTCATGCCCACACATGCCATACTGTTTCTTGACCCCCCCCCTGCTATAACTCCCTTAAAATGACAGACCAGAACACAATGAAACATACTAAGAAAACACAGTAGTGAGGGAACCTCCGCCTGCAGGGTGCTTGAGTAAGCCTGAAACCTTCTGTAAGGTCAGTGAATCATAATTTAAAATGTTTACGTTCTCCGAATCAGCAAGAATTCTTAGTAAGACCTTTGCCCTTCTTTCTCCCTCCTTTCACACTCCTTTTCTTCTCTCCATCCACACCCACGTGCTTATCCTTGGCACTTACGAATTTTGTCTGTGCTACAATCAATGACAACAGACCACAACTTGCCAGCTATTCCTCAAAAACCACTTAGCAGCCCTGATGAATGTGACAGCCAGTGCTTGTCTCATCTCCCATATTTGGTCACAGCTGCCTTATTTTAAGAGCTAAGGTGAATGGGGAAATGCTCTTTAATGGCAACCCATTGGAGCACATTAAGGGAATAAAGTTTCAGAGGCTTCAGAGCATCTCTGCCAGGAATGGCTGGCAGTGAGGTGGAAGCCATAAGCTCCTGCAGACCAACAGCTGTGCAGAGCAGGAATAATCCTGCCAGCTACCAGGTGTGGAAAAAGCTTCCAGTGACCAAATAGGGTGGGCAGGATCTGCTGACCCCCAGAGTTACGGAAAGGGCTGAACTGCTCAGGAGACCATTAGTAAATGGCTATTCTGTTTCTAGGAAATGATGTACTTTCTGTTATTAACAGTCTTAAGGCATCTTCCTCACCCCCATTTTGGATTAAGGATTATTTGTAGTTTTTATTCTAACAACATCCAACATTTCTGACTGTAAAAGCCTTTTAGTCATCACTAGGAATCTTGCAATGAGATTTAAATAGGAACCTTGGAGCTCTGGCCAATGTTGAGTCCTCTTGTAAGCATCAGCACTAGAAGAAGTTAGAAGTTCTCATTTTTGGAGAGTGCTGGATTTTTATTCTGGGAACAGTATTACAAAATAGGAACACAAATTAAGGTAATGAAAGCCTCGTCACTTCTGAAAACTCTGTTCAGTCACTGCAGTGAAACCAAAAACCATTGAATTGCTCCAATCAAGTAAAAGCAAACCTTTCCTTGACTGTAAGAAAACAGTAAAATTATCTCTCTTTTTTTTTCCTTCCTACTCTACCAATCAGATATATGCTGAGATTTTTTTAAATTGTACTGCTTCAGAATGGTAGAAGTGACATTTACTTTGAGACGAACCTTGGCTAAAATTTGGCGGCTTCTGAGAAATCTTCTGTTTGCTTACGTTTGGATCAAGCTTTTCTTTTGTATTTGAATCACTTCTAAAAGTATTCTGACATCTTCAACTCTGCTTTGAGCGAAGTTGTCTAAAATAAATGCTTTATTCTGGAAGCTGTTACTTAGCCAGCAGTGTTTGGCACATTATCCATTGCAACCCTTTTTCCTCCATTGTGGTGAGTATATTGAAAGGGTAGAAATTAAGGAATTTTAGTTGAAGGATAAAATCGGCTCTTAAACCAGAAGAATCTCTTCCTGTCTCAAGCTGGTCCACGTGCTTCACCAAGAGAAATGCACTAGAGAGGGATTTTCCCTTAAATAAGCATGTCAGCCTCAACATTTTTCATTGTTCAGATAGGTACTCCCTCTAACAGAATAACACATGTAGATTCACATGAGTTCCCTAATACACAGAAAACAAAATTAGAGCAAGATATGTCTTCAGAGTAAGTAAAACACAGAAGCACAGGTTTCTGTTTTAGAATAGAATAAAAGGATCTCCTTTTATTCAATATTTTCTGTCATCAGCAGTGAGACTAACCACGTGGGCACGGCTACTCAGCTATCTAAGCATTTGCAAACTCGGTTCTAAAGATGAAAATGCCAATTTCATGATACAACAATGGGTTAATAATTTATACCTGTAGCAAGCAGGCCATTTTGTTTCGAAGTTGCTACAAGTATAGACATTAAACTTTTTCTGACTTTCCACTCAAAAGAATTCAGATGCTTTAGCAGTTTAATTTTCCTGTTTTACAATATATTTCATGGAATCAGTTCATCTCTGCCAATAATTTTTACACTGACACACCTGTGAATTTAATTAGTATTATTTTTCCTTTTTCACTGAACACTTTCCTGTCCTCACTGCCCTTGGTAAACACTCTCATGTATATCTTGCAGTCCTTCTTGTTTGTATAGACTCTACTCATCATTCTGCAACACTATATTGCAGGAAAAAAAGAGGGAATAGAAAAGTAGATGTGAATTAAAAATTGCCAGTTGTTTTAATCAGTATATATGTTACATATGTTTGAGGGTTTCCCCTCACTCTACCTCAGCATCTCATTTCACAAAATGACATTTTCTGCTTGTTTTTAACTTTGTTGTAACCTTCGTAACTGACAGTATAGTACGTTTGTTAAAATCACTTCTGGCTTTTTCCAAAGCCCAATCCAGCAGGTGGACTCCTACTTTCTAGCTTTGACATTGCTGGAGCTTCACTCACATGATGTCAGTAGCCAGCCTAGTGAAAATCTCTTTGACTTAAAAATACAAAGAATAAACAACCAATGTATTCCTACCATGAAAATATCATACAACTTTGTTCTTTAAGCTACATAAGCAACACGAGTACATCGTCCAAGGGGGAAAGATCCTACAAATGCACAAAGTATAAAAATACGACAGATGGAATGTGCCACAGTATTCTAAGTGAAGCATTGAAGCACCCCATAGAAGTGGTTGAAGTAAGTGCAATCTTTTTTCTCCCTCACACCCCATAAATCCTTTCCTGCATCTCCTTCTGTCCCAGAGAATAACATGGGAGCTATGCATTCCCACAGACCAGCCATGCTTGCTGTTCAGACCAGCAGTTCCATAGCCTGATGCTAGTCAGTTTGGTACTGACTTCTGCTTTACCTTCTTTTTCCAGCCCTGGGCTGGGAATCCCCATTTCTCCATGTAGTTTCTCTCTCTCTATGTCTAATCCCACTGGCCCAATGCTGCAGCATCTCCTCAGGCTTAGCCCTGGTGCATGCCCCGAGGTCATGAGTCATTTTGGAAATGGCGGTTCACATTTGAAAAGAGCTGTGTGTCATTCTGTATTTCATAGAAGAGTCATCTCTCTTTCACCTCCTCGTGAAGTGCCTGTATCACACCAAGAGGCACTCCTTCAGAGATCTCTTTTTCCTCCTGGCACTGCTGCACCGGTGGGTAAGCGTGCAATCCCTCCCTCCAGCAGAGCAGTGGCATTCACACTCTCAGCACTGCTCTGCTCCACGACTCTCTCTCCTTCCTTTCCCAGTCAGCAGAAAGCAGGGATTTCCTTTTCTACTCCTCCTGCATGGTAAAAGCAGCTTGCTGTTCAAGGGGAGGAGAAGGAAACATGTTTGCTGTGTTTGTTAACTGCTGCTTCAACTACAAGCAGCAATGACTGCCCTGGCAGGTTGCTTTACGTTTCTGTTTATAAAATCACAGAAATGCAGGTTTAAATCATCATTTTTCCTCTTCAGCATCTTCTTCCTGTTTATCTAAATGCCTTTGATCCTCCCTGAGCTCTCTCTTCCTCACATCTCTTTGCATCCTCAGTTAAATCAGAGCTACCAATCACAACAACTAAAAGGGTTATCAGTGCTCTGATACACGGTCTCATGGATCCATGATACCAAAGAGGCACAGCTGGCTCCATGGAATGGCACTTCACAGAACCAGCGGCTATAGCTGACCTTTTAAAACATTATAAAAAGCATCTTCTCATTTTAACTTCTTCATTGCATAAAGTAGCAGTATCAGGAAAAAAAAAATACAGAGTGTGTTCAGTGCATCATTTCAGAAATCAAGCAGTTTCCTGCATAACCAACGCAGGGAACGTGCCTGGAATGTTCTGCTCTCACAGATAACAATTGCGAAAGTGGATAGTGTTTACCTTAGGGGAACATGAAGTCCTCTGGTGGTTCAGACTCCCTTGGGCAATAGGTTCAGAGTCCTCACACGACTTGGAAGCACCACTCCTCTCTATCAGGTTCCTTATTTCAACATCAAGCTCTTTACTTTCACACCTGCTTAAAAAGAAATTGCAGAAAGACTTAAAGCACAGAGAAGGGAGATCTGTCTGTTGTCTTCTGAACATGAAAACAGAGCAGAGCTGCAAGCTCCTGCTGCCTTCCTTCCAGGAATACAGTCACAGAGCACTCAGGCAGCCTCACACATGCCATGCTTTGTGACAGAAACTCATGCAAAATAGTTAAGTCAGTGCTCTTGACCAATTGTATTACTTTGTATATAGAAAAACCAAGCAAGCCCTCCTGGGTGCTGTCTGAATGCTGCCATGTACCCTCATCCCCACCTCCAGCTGCAAGAATGTTAAAATATAGCACAAGTGTTCTCAAAATAGTTAAAATTGGATTTGAATTCCAAAACCAAATCTTCAGGTGTTTTGTTGTTTTGTTTTTTTTTTTTTTTCATTGCACACTTCATTTTCTGTAATACTTCATAATAAATTCGTAACAGGCACTTTCATCTCCTCCCCTTTCCCCCCTCCCTCCCCAAATATAACTTGCAAAAAATAGGAAAAAAAAAGGTCTGTTCTGGATACTAAAATATTTGTGGGAAAATCGTTCTCTTTCAGTCTCTACTAAGGACACTCAGGACTTAAGTCCTGAGAGCTAGCAATTAGGGCTGCAGTGGTGGAACACAACTTTCAGAGGACTGATCTGGCCATAATCAAAAGCAAACCCCCCAAAAACCTACGTCCAAGCCAAGCTTTCGGGACATACTTGTCTTCATTTCCTGAGCAGCTTAAACCAACTCTAAATGTATTTAATAACAAAATGGGTTGGGTTGGAAGGGACCTCAAAGATCATCTAGTTCCAACCCCCAGCCATGATGGGCTGGTCACCCCCCACCAGCTCAGGCTGCCCAGGGCCCCATCCAGCCTGGCCTTGAACACCTCCAGGGATCGGGCATCTACAGCTCTCTGGGCAGTCTGTGCCAGCACCTCATCAGCCTCTCTGTGAAAAGCTTCCCCCAGTATCTAACCTAAATCTCTCTTCCTTTAGTTTAAAACCATTTTCCCTCGCCCTATTACTCTCCCCATGCATCAAGTTCATTTCCCTCCTCTTTATAATCCTGCCTCTTCAAACCGTCTTTCTTTTGTAGAGCCACAGCATGGAGGAAGAAAAAAACAAGTGTAACGTCAGGATATTTGGGTGTGATTTGAGAGCTAGACTTACAGCGTAGGCAATTGGACTTTTGCACAGGGAACAGAACCACAATATTTCATTTCAATCATGGAACGTTCTCAATCACTAGAACACATCACATGACTTTTCTCTTATACAGAAAGATATTTCCTTGTACTGACTTCTTTGTTGTTTGTATTAAACCAATACGGTAGCTAGAGTGAGTTCAAAGGAAGAGACCACTCGACAGAAAAGAGTCCTGCATTTTTGTTAGACCACTTGCAAAGGGAATTATGACCAGCTAAAAGTCACGATGAAAAAAAGAAGGGCTTTCTTGGCACACATTTTCATAAGCTGCTCCAAATGCCTGCGGTTTTCAAAGCCTCCCTGCTGCATGGGTGGCACAGCCAGCCCTGGCAACATAGGCTCATGGGCTGGCTTTATGAGCAAGGTCAGCTCCACAGAGCGAGCACACAGCCTGGCTCTCCTTAGCTTCCCTTCCACTTCTGGTCTGAGGACATGAGCTGGGCTTTTGGCTCTCACAGGACTGGGAAGGAGCTACAAAGCCTGTAAATCAAGAAGAAAACCTCAAGAGGAAAACAAGGAACCTAGAGAAAGAAAACCAGCCCTTTTCCATACTGCTAAAAAGTTGCAAAATCCAGATAGCAGTGCAAGTGGCAATTTTTTCCTTTTTAAGCAACTGTTTGCTAAGCTTCTCAGACTATAAGTTCTGGGGTGGTGGCACAACCAGTTCTCTTTGGAGGCTTTGCTTTCAAGGAGCTACACAACACCAGCTCTGCCCCACTGGTACCCCACTTTCCTCTAAGCACACCTCCCTGGAAAACAGCAGTTCAGCTCATTAGGATTCCCACGCCTGGTCTAGCACGAGACTTGCTTTGTCTAGGAGCTTGGATTTATGCCATGCAGAGGGCTGGGTGCACTTAAGGGTGCTTGAGAGAACTGAGAAATTATGGCACTGAAGCAAACACTCACGGTGCGTTTTTAGGAAAAATGCATTATATGATATTTACATAGTAGGGGAGAAATTGCTGTTATAGCCTCCTCAGAAGCCCTAAAAACGTGGGAAGAGTTGAGGAGAGGTTAAGTACAGTGAAGTGAAATGTAACTGAGCAGCACTGAGGGACTTAGGACAGCTGTTAAAACCACTGACCAACATTTCAGGCTGAGCTTTCAGAACTTCCACTTTTATTCTGTGCTTGGACAACCAAATGAAGGTGAGAGCTGCTCTCCTTTGTTGCTTCACTTAGCTTGCAGAGCTGAGAGAAAAACCTCTTGCTACATGTAGCTTCTCTCAAAGACTGTTCTGCTCGTTGCCCAGGGTTGCAGTCACATGCACATCACTTTTCACCTCTCATAACCACTCTGCTGCAAATGGTCACCCTTCACTGCTGGCGCAACCCACCTGTCTGGCTGGGTCAGCACAGTCAGTGTTTCCTTCATGTGAAATAAAGCAGCTTAGAATAAAACTGCTAAAAGGCAAAGGGCAATTTCTAGGGGCAGCTCCAAAGAAGGCAAAGGAAGAGCAGCCCGGCAGCAGGCTGAGCACTGCTGCAGTGAGGTAGGCTGCACGCATCTCTGCTGCTCAGCAACAGCGTGAGGAGATGTCTGACCACAGCCTCCTGAGATCAGAGCTTGAATAGAGCTGGGAAATCCCCTGTAAAGATGGGGGTTGGCTTTAAGTGCTTCTTCTCAGTCAGGAAGCGCACATCACTGCTATGTTTCCTGCAACTTGCCCAACAGAGTGCTGTTCCTGGTACCTCCTGCAATTCCCTTTCTCACTCTGCATTCTCCTTCCTAGGCTTAGCAGAGTCAAGGCAAGAGAAGGATTAAGATCCAGCAATGCCAGTGAAAAAGACTGGGAAGTACAAAAGACTCAAACCCCTGCAAATGGTTGCTGCTCTGTAATACCCATGTGTTTCAACACTACCATGAAAGTTAGAAAACTATTTCTTTGGCTGGGTTTTTCAGTGCACTTATTTCTCCTCTCAGCCTTTAAACTAGGGTGTTTTGACTAGAAACTATCCCTCTGTTTATGTGCATTTCAAAAGAACACTAGCCACTTCAGTACTTATCATGAATTATGTAAAATGTTAATTAACCATATCTGTGATGTAGATGCATTTTACAGACCATACTTTCAGAGCACACAGATGACCAAAGTGTTTGAATACCTCTCCAAGGCAAGATTAGAAGCTACCACAGCACAAGGCAGCTCTGGATGATTACATGAGCTTCCCCTGGTGAGCAGCAGAGGGCACACAGCACGTATCTGCCACAGAAAGCAATTCTTCCTGAACTGCTTTTGGTATTGTGAAGTTTGCAGACATATTTGTGCACCATTAACATCTTTATTACGTTACATCACTATCAACATTTCCTAAAGCTGGGTATTTTGTTTTTTATTAATAATTGTTAATTATTAATAATAAGGTAAGTAAGGAGAGAAAATAGACAACCCACTAAAAGAACAAACAAACAGAACAGAACATTCAAATTTTAGAGATGCATGTTGTGCAAAAATCAGCCATCATAGAATCATCAAAACACCAAAGCTGGAAAAGTGCTCCAAGATCATTCAGTCCAACTGCCTACCTATCACCAACATTTCCCTACTAAACCATGTCCCTCAGTACCACAACTAAACATTTCTTGAACACCTCCAGGGACAGCGACTCGACCACCTCCCTTAGCAGCCCATCAGAAAATGTTAAAAATATTTTCATGCAGCAGTAGAAGGCAAAGTATATCTCTTCTGGGTATAAAAGCTTTCTGAAATGTAAAAATAGGAAGATAAAAAATATAAAACCTATGCCATTTACATGGCATGTCATGGTTAAAGAAGACGACAATAACAAGGTATTACAGTAACTCCTCTCTGTAAATTGTGAGTTACGTGCTCAATTTCGTTTGATGTGAAAATTAAAACATTTGAGATGGAAGCAGCACTGACATATAACAAAGGCAGGTGGTGGTTCACTGTAAGTTTTAGCAGCTTACAGGAAAAGGAGAGAGCACAACCTTACTCATAATTTCCATGTCATGAACACGTGAAGTAGTAGTCAATATCCTTCCAGCTGTGTTTTCCAAAAACAAGAAATTCCTTGTGTGTGTTCTCTTCCTTTTGAAAGTTGCCATCTCCATGCTGAATTTCACTGCTAGAGCTGTGTAACAGAAATGTTTTCATTCCCCCTTTGTATTTACCTTACTGCCTTAAAATGTTTTTCTCTTTTTGCTCCATGATGCATCTTTGTGCTATTTTAACTCCAGGACTTAAACGGCTTTCTGTGGTTAATTTCTTATAAATTGCTGCATATTTTTGTAGCAACTCAGTTTCTCAGCTGAGAGTTAGAAGAAAAATGTGACCAGCATATGCTTTGTCTGTGACTGGAACTAAAATCCCTAGCTAGATCAAAGCCATTCAATCAAATAAACTATTCAATTCTATCCTCAAAGAGTTATACTATGAAGTGCTGGTTATGCATGCACAGTTTTATTAAATTATGCATGTAGCAGAGTGAGAACAAAGTTTTGGCCCAAAATTATCACTAAAGTTGGAACGTTATGGCATCAGAAAGGAAACATAAGGTGGGGAAATCAACAGCTGCTAATAGAGTCAAGTGCACTTCTTTGTAGTCAAGCTTCTTCTGGACAAAAGAAGCAGCACAATTCCCCGTTAACTCCCATTTCTCTAATGGAGTAGCAGCCATGCCCAGCTCCTGATGGCCTGCTCTGTGGTCATTTCATGAGCCATCTTGTAATAAATTGCATAGATTCATAGCTAAGAAATACATACTTGTATTCAAATAGTTGGGCATGAATCCTGGGAAGAGTCCCAGTGTTGCTGCCAGTATCTTTTGTGAGCTCTTGTCTCTCCCTGGTTTTCACTGGGAAAGACAAGGTATTATTATTGTCTTTTCCAGTGTTACTATATGCTAACATTATTAGTATTATTAGTTACTAATGGCTATGTGGAAACGGTGACATAAATACAAATGAGTCTCAAGGAATATACTGCAAAATTTGAATAGACTATTTGATTATTTGACCAGAACTATTCATTCTTTCATTAAATTAACTATATAACTATTTGTAATAATAATTTATAGGCTGGTGTGCTGGGGTCATTCTCCTGTGATTGGCAAAAGCAAAAATAAACACCATAAGCAGTTGTGAGAAAAGTTTTTAAGCCAGGATTTACAGCCAGACACCAACAGCACAGAGACATATTTTGACAGGAAATGAATTCCAGAGCGTAGGGGTTAAACACATGCTATATCCCCTTGGGTGGGCATTTCAGACATCCCATTCTTGTAACCAAGTCTAGAGAGCTGATCCTTAGAAAGATGTAAACATCTGAATGTGAATTATGAAGGACAAACTGGTTCTGATAAGTTAAAAATTTCAAAGCCAATAATTTCAACTAATATTTCTCCTATTTTTGATACAGTGCTTAATTTCATTCAGGAAAATGCTTTTAGAATTTCTAATCTAGCGTGGGTTAGAAATATTTGAAACAAGGATAAAATCAGGCATATACTTCTTTACAATGTCGGTTTATTCATAGAACTATGCCATTATCTTATGTTCTGTGATTTCGAAGGCTTTTTGCTCTCTTAATTCAGTTTTGTATAATAATTTCTAGGCTTTTTTCCATGCACATATCTCAGGATTTTTGTATTAAAATCTTACCCACCCAACAATAAACGACAAAGAATTGCAAATCTAATAAACAACGGGAAGAAAAATCTTTTGCCAAGAAAACAAGATGACTTTTGCTGTAGAGTGTGTTTTTCATTATTGTCGTTTTTGTTCTCTTTCATAACCTTATGAACTCTTAGAGTTTTAGTAAGCCATTAGCAAACCATGGGCTCCTGAGCTGATAAACAATAGTTACAATGTAGTGCAGCTCCCTAAGAATCAGTGGTGCTATTCCAGTACTCAACACCTAGCAAGCAGATCTCCACTTGGAGCTTAGGGCTGGGAATCCAAGCCCCATCTCCTGAAAGCATTCTGCATTTCCCTTCTCACACACCGCCATAAGAGACCATTTATTAGACGTGAAGCACTCTGCACCAGTGCAAGTGTGTAGAAAGAACCTGCCTTTGTTGATGGTGAACAAGAAAGAGGGAAAGAAAAGGAACAACAAAATTCATCTGGTATTTCAAAATTGTAGCTGGAAAGCCAGGCACCAGCAGCAGCTGAGCTCCACCTCATGGAACTGCACTGTCTTTAGAGTGAGAGGTCCCAGATGCTGGGAAAAAGGGGCTGGCACCGGTACTTGGGAGCTAAGTACAAGATTATACCTAATCTTGCTCCACTCCCAAGGAGAGAGTTCCACAAGGCAAGGTGTATGATATGGATTATAACGAGTGTGTATACTGAGGCTACAGCAGAGAAACCACTTAAACTTTCGCTCAAATGTGATTCAGCCAAAACATCTGCCTGTCACCCCATAAACGTCCCTACACTTCTGTTCCCTTTACGACAAAGGAATGGAGCTTTTAAGGAACATTTAATAGCCAGCAGCTGTTTGGCTGTCAAATGCCACATCTGGAGAAGCTGTGCCATAAATGTGAACAGAAACAATTATTCTTTAATAGTTTTGCTTAATTTTAAGAATTATACAAATCACAACAACAAAAGAGGTGCATGTTCTTAATGGAAACACATCTGGTTTCTCTGAAAAGAAGCCAAAAAGTAGGTCTGGTGATTAACTGAAGCTGCTCACGTAATCTATCCCGTCTCAATGAAGAGAGAAGCAAAGCTACTGATATGCAGGCACTCTGTGTTTTCCAGTGTTTGGCTGTTCCCTTCAACAAATATGGGACATGCGAGAAGACAACAGCTAAGCTGGTTGCATCATTCCCCTTTTACTAGGATCTTCTGCTTAATTACAATACCAAAACCATAATTCAAGTTCTTCACAATGGACAGAATTTGGAAGAAATTGAAACGCCTGGGAAGTCACAGAATGAGTTTCACTGACTTTGCCATGCTTCACACAGGCCTCGAGTGACAGGAGGCCATCTCCCAGGAGAAGCAGCACATGGAGCACTGTCACCCAGACTCCCCTCGCAGTGCTCGTGCAGCTGTGTGGACCACAGGGGGAGGGGAGAGGGAATTGAAAGGGAATTGAAGTTTTTCCCTGAAAATCACCCAAAGCAGAAAACTCAGCAAAGAATGTGCTTTCTGAGTAGATCAACTCCTGACTCTACTGAAACTCACACCTGCAGAAAGCTGGTGGGAGACAGCAGGAAAGTGATGAAAGAGCCGAAAACTAAGAGTTAACAACAAAAAGGGAGACAATCTACACCAGAGCAAAAATTAATGTTTCCAGTGCTCTCTTTCTATGAAGACCAACAGCCAGAAAAGCTGGAACTCCTGTTAGGGCACATTCCTGGCCTCAGCAGGCACCTTTTTGAAACAGTTACCCTCCAACATCACTTTCTGCACTGCCTGCTTGCTCCACAGCCAGGCCATAAGCACCAGGTGTACATTCAGGCCTTACAGACACACATTTCCCTGGAAAGTTGTCATCCTGGTGCAATTGTACGGCTGATGTTTTTAACTGGTGTTATACACCTCTGCTCTCTCTCTTCCTCAATCAGGCATCACTGCAAACCAAAGACGACCTATGCATTGCCTGTTCTGCCTCCTAGCTCACTCTCAGTCAGGATCTAGATGCATCACCACAACCTCACTGATCAGGGCACCTTTGGAACAAAACAAGCCCAAGATTCATTTGGGTCAGTTTCTCCCCCATAGATCTTACATATTTTCTACTGTCTACTAACAGTGCAAGCAAAATAAATAGAACACCACTTGGAATTTCAGCCAGGAAATTAACTTACAGTAGCTGAGAAGGATAATCATCTCTGTTGACTCAAGTCAACTTCTTGCCTATGGTAGCTGTTAGGCAGCCAAATGAAACACAGAGGAAGCTCACAGCACAGCTGTCTGTGTCACAGATCCAGTGCTTAAACTGCCAGCACCTGGCATGTGCTTTCACCAGGGATGCCATTGTCTGAAAGGAATCTGACACATCCCTGCCATCAGAGATGGATTAGAGTCAAACTACATTAGCAGTAGCACACAGTGTCTTCAGCAAATGGGAAATCCCAAGCGATTTCAAAATCCACTTATTTCACAAACTAACTTGAAAAAAAGAAAACATTTCTTTCCAGAAGAAAAGATGGATACAGTACTACGTATTTCCTAAATGTTACAGAAACATCTACACTTTCCTTTCATTTTGTTTATTTTCCTCTCACACCTGCACATTATGATTAAAAGGTAGCTTTAAAAGGTATTAACCATCCTCAACTACTTGAAACATTTATTATCATCATTATTGTCAGAGCTTACCTTACTGGTTACAGCTATTCATTTAAATTCTCAGCACTATTCGATTTCTTTAATCTCCTCATGACTCACTGAATCTTAGTAATGGGTTGTCATCATCACAGCCTCACTGAAGACTCTTAACCATACTGTGACCTCTTTATCTGAATGAAGTATCTCTCCATCCTACCGTACAACCTCTTTTCCTGCCATTATCAGTAGAACTAGTTTTACTTCACAAAGAAACAAGCAGACCCAAGAAGCCACAAAATCTCTGTAGTCAGAAATACTAAAAACTTGCCTAGATAGGCTCCAAGCCACTTGATCCGACTAAACCCACTGGTCCAGACAACATCCAAGTCATTTCCAACCTACACTATTTCATGATTCTTCTCAGTATACACTATGCCCACGTTTTACTTGTTTAAACAGAAATGACACAGACCTCCAGGACAGATTAAAGTGGGAAAAAAGTAATTGTATTAGGCTGAGTCTCTGAACAAAAAATAGACTGACAAATGCAGGAAAAGCTTGATTATACAGTTCTAGTAGCATAATACAAATGACAAAAAGCAAAAAATAAAAATAAAATAAAAGGAGAAGTTTATCCACAAGAAAAATAAAGATATGAAACTGGTCATACCTTTCCATCTCAACATGCTGATGGGAACACAATTCTAGAAGATCCTCTGCCTCTTTATTCTTCCTTTTGAACTTTTCACAGTGAATCTATTAGGGAGAAGGAAAAAAAAAGTGCACTCAGAGTGAAAATAAATAGGTTAATAATCTCAGAAGAAATTCAATTGTACAATCACAAGAAGAGATTATTACGCATTGTCTGTATTCCTGTTTTCTCTTCCCATCTCATAAAGAGCTGACATGTAGGCCAGGAATCTACTTTCTCCTAGTTTACCATCATAATCTCTTAAATCCATCACTCTAACAGGAGCAGTTTTGCAAGAGCAGAAGCAACAGCACTCTCCAGCTGTGGTAGGGGGCATCAACCCAAGAAGCAAAGTTGCCAGTACTCACACAAATATTGGAAATGATGTGAAAGGTATTTTTGCAACTTATTATTCATCCTAAAGTAATCAATTGTTTTAAATGCTTGGAGTTCATGTATATTCTCAGATTAACCAGAAAATTAACATGCTTCATGGAAGTATAAAGTAAAACTACTACTCTTCAAGCTTAAGAGGATGAGTAGGGGCCTGATATAAATAACTTGGAGAGAAAGGAGTAGGAGCCTTGCTTAAGTTAGTGTGCACAAAATGCACTGTTCACCAACTATACAAGCTACCATAAGCGTCCCTCTGGTCAGGTCTAGCTGCTGTCTAGCATTGCATTTCCAATGAGAAGAAAAAATGCTGTTCCCAGAGGAAAGGACATACATTGGAAGTACAATCACCTCTCCATTATAAATGAGACAATAGATAGTACAGAGACCAAGTCATGCCACCTCATCCCTAGAAGTCATCCCACTGCCTGTACTGCAGGCCAACAGCAGCCCAGATTACGCTTCTTCATAGCATTTGGGACACCTCTGTTTCACCAGGAAAGGAGCCCGTGAGTCTTATTCTTTTCTTCAGGAGAAAGTGACAGAAGAATAGCATTATCGTAGTTGTAATTGGAATACTGGGGGATTAGATTTTATCTTGACCTAAGAGATTTTGTAAATCTCTTTACACCTCTCTTTCTTACACCTACATTAAGAATAGCAATGAAATAAAGTGGGAGTCATCAAGAGTGAATCCCAGTATTTATGACCAATTACAAGTCACTTATTTTACTGGCAACATCAGCTTAACGTGGAAGCACAGTTGAACTTTCTTATAAAAGCCATGGTGCTTCACCTATACGCAGAGCAAAAATGTACATTACAAGTTTGCCAGGAGAGGATCGTGTTTGGCACCCCTCCCCTCTCCAGATTCCCCATTCCATCAGGCATTTCACACATTTTAAATACATATTATAATCACTAGTTACAAGAATCTCATTAAGAAAAAACACCATTTCATTTTCATGTAAAACTTGATTCCATATTGTCTGAGTTTTATGAGTGTCTGCTTAATCATAACAAAAACATGCTGATGTATGGGAAGATGCATTTGCTTGGATTCAGTGGGTGCTGCAGACACTTGGTACTAAGAATGAAGCCTTATTTTAGGATATGAACTGGAAGTTGACTAGAAGCCAGGAGTGTGCCCTTGTGGTCAAGGAGGCCAATGGCATCCTGGGTCACATTAAAAAGAGCACTGCCAGTGCTCCTCTCCCTTTCCTCTGCCCTGGTGAGGACTACTGCATTCAGTTCTGGGCTGTCCAGCTCAAGAAAGACAGGGATCTCCTAGAAAGAGTTCAATGGCAGAGCCCAAAGATGATGAGGGGCCTGGAGCATATCCTATATGAGGAAGGGCTGAGATATGTGGGTCTGTTCAGCCTGAAGAAGATATGGCTGGGAGGGGATCTCATAACTGTTTATAAATATCTAAATTGTGGGAGCCATGCGGACAAGGGCATTTTTGGTGGTGAGCAACAACAGAACAAGAGGCAACAGACATGAACTGGAGCACAGCAAGTTCCATGCTAACACAAGGAAGAGCTTTGTTGCTGTGAGAGTGACAGGACACTGGAACAGGCTGCTCAGAGTGGCCGTGAAATCTCCTTCTTTGGAGATAGTAAAGACCCACCTGAACACCTACCTGTGTGACCTGATATAGTAAATTGCTTTAGGAGGGGATTGGACTCTACGATCACCAGAGGTGCCTTCCAACCCCTGCAAATCTGTCACTATTATACTTGGCATTTAGGTGTTTAACAAGATACCAATTTTGAAAAAATGTTGACCTGGAATAAACAGTCCCAACAAAAAGTAAAATGAACATGTACAAACAAACAAACTAGTGCCATAATTCAAACTACCATTCCTTCTCTAATTCATTCTATGGCTTAGATATTTCACATCTCAGATCCACATGCAAAGTTAGACACAGTAGGACAACCCACATACTAAAGAAATATGCCATGTTAAAGGATAAAAGTTAAAAGTTACTGACCAATGTTGGTAAAAAGTATGCAGCAGGAAGTAAAGAATGTTTGGGGTTGTGGGCAGACGGAATGATGAAGAATACAGAAAAAGATTGTTGCATGATTTTGCAGTGACAGACCTGTTCATCTAAGCAGCACAGGCTTTGGCATAAAAGCAGCAGACAGTTCGGTACTGCTAAGAGCAGCATGATCTACACTGCAGATCATGGCCAGGCTGCTGCCAACCAAACAACACTGCAGTGTGGCCAGCTGCTTTGATCTGTTTCCCTTGACCTCCAAATGAATGGATGACTGCGTTGATGCAGGGTAATGTCTTTGCCTTTCATTTCTCATGGCTTTTTGATAATATCAGCTGTCAGTAATGTCAGTGCGTCAGTTCTGAATAGCTTTTAATTTTTATTTTTTTTAAATCATTTTTGGTTCTTCATGACAAAATGAGTCCAACCTGTGTTGGCAGCACTAATTGTCCTACATCTAAATCTACAGTTACATATCTGAGCAAGAGACATCTGGACAATTGCACAAAACATGCACATTATTGTTGTAAAAGGAACTAGAAGCTTTTACAATGATACCATGAAATTTAATGCTGTAAGGCTTTTATTAGATCAGACAAATTGAAGTTGAGTTGGATAAAAATTCAGCTACTTCAAAGAATTAAGGCTCTGTAGAAAATTGGGGGTTATAATTGTCATAGCAAGGATTGCTCGGAATTACATAAATTTTCTGCTTTCTGTCAAGGCTATTAAAAAATAAATAGGAACACACTGAAGAAAAAGAGGATCCATTTTTCTCACATATTTGTGTTCTAGCTGTGATTGGAAACGTTTAGTAAAAAGCATGCAAAAGTTTATCAGCCCTCCAATAATAATTCAAGCCCTAAGTACTTCCTTAATATACCTGAACAGGCTGTAAGAGATTTTTTTGTTTGGAGTACTAACATGCATTAACAAGGAAGATTTCCACGTGTAAAACTCACTTCGAGAGAAAAAGCTCCCCAAAGAGGGACAAGACTCACTAATTCTTATGAAATATTAATTATAAAAATAATAAGAGCCACCCAGGCACTTACCAAGGTAGGATTTCAAAACATTAATTAAAATGCATTTCACAAACATCTGTATTTTAGCTTTGCCTCCTGCCACATTCTCTTTTGCCCTCCAAGCCTACCACTATTTTAAGAGCATCATATTTTCCTAAACCTTTCCTCATTTTCCCCAAACACATGCCGTAATTCACTTGTTCTTCTGTTGTGCCAAAGCAGCTTTTTGTGGGGATGCAATGCAAGATGGCTCCCAGAAATGAACTGGCTGAAAGGAGGCAGAGAAGGAAAAGGGATTTTGTATTCCCTCTGCACACCTTGTCTGGCTTGGCTCACTGATTCAGTTATAGAAAACACCACCATAAACTGACATTGTCACAGAGCAGGGAGCAGAAAACACACACACACAAAAACAAACAGAACCACACACTAGCAATTTACACATGGGGAAAAAAACTGACAGATATGTTACCTCCTCACTGATTTGTACATTTTGTACTGCAGAAGGCCTAGGGCTAGCTGTCACAGACAGACTAAGCAAAATCACCACCTTTAAGTAATACCCAGATTGCAAAATAGCTCCAAAACAAAATGGAACATATGCAATCACAAACAAGCCCACAGATAAACAAGCTGGCAGGTTACACATTATCAGTGCATGGCTGCTGTGTGGGAGGAGTGGGGGGGAAAGAAATGGATTATTACTGTAAATGTGATCAAAATGGTAGAGCAACCAGAGGGAAAAAAAAAAAGTCCAACAAAATTTCATGAAAGACATCCAAACTGAAACTAATCTAAAAAAGGAATAAAGTCTTCAAGTTTGTTTGTTTGCCCTGTAGCTCTTAAGAAGTCAAATATGAAATAATATTTCTGCAGTGCCTTCTCCCTGGATTGCTCCAGATTTAATACTTGTAAACAGCAGTAATGTTCAGTGCAGCCAGCCCCAAACCAGCCACTATATGTCTTTCTGCCTCTGTATCCACTGCTCCTTGATGAAAATGCAGCTGTACAAGCCCCAACATCTCCCAGTCCTCTTTCCTCCTTCCCTGGTCATTCCCTTGTAAAGTGCTGAAAATTCAACATCAGACAGCTTGTAACTAAAAGAAAAAATAAATCTGATGTTTTATTTGTGTCAAAAATGACAAGTTTCTGGGTTTCTCAGCTCTGTTTTGCCTAGCTTGATTCTGATACAATGAAGCTGGTAACCTGCACTATGTGATGCAGGAAAATTTAATAGTTAAATGTGATCTCACCATTAAGTGCAGTTATTGGTTAGGATAGCACAGCATAAGAATGTTAAATATGCAAAATACCCTAATTTGTAGATGCTGTCCCACAAATCCGTGATAGCCAGAACTTAATAAGTAGCCTATGTACATTTCCTGAAATAATCACAGATGATTCAGTAAGCAAAACAAAGTAAAGCCTCAAACAGCAGAAAGATAAATTAAAACCCGAAACAGCAGAAAGCCATTGCAGTGGACCTGGCTGGGGAATGAGGCAATGAAAGGCTGACTACCCTATTTCTACCCAGAAATAAATGTCTGGATTTCAGCATCAAGTCAGCGTGATTCTGGAGAAGCTCTGCACTTTAGGCTGTTTAGCACTTGTCCAGGAAATAAAACGCACAGTGTAATCTCTG